TAACTGTATAAGTAATTTGCCAAAAGACATCTAGTGGACTCTTTTAAAAGTGAAATCAGCTACAGCAGTGGTGTCTTTTTTGTTTGTTTTTCCTGTCTCATTATCTCAACGAATACATTGGTTTAGTGCTTTCTTGTATTATGGATGTATGTGCAGTTCAGACCTCTGCAAACCCTACGGTATCAGTTATTAAGGAAGGAGTGAATATGCTAGTTGAGTATGTACCATAAAATGTTATAGATGTGCTAGGAAGTATTTTCAAAAATATAAAACCAGAGGAAAAATCAAGAAGTGAAAACTAGTTTAAAGCTCAGTTAAAATGAGAGGTGGTCTGAATTGTCAGTAAAATTTTCACAATTCATGTTTGCAAATTTAAACTCAGGGAACGGTTTCTATGGTTTTCAACTACACATACTGAGTGCATCTCTAAGAAGATGCCTGAATTTGGTGCAGCGAGAACTTATCACAGTTAGAAGCGTCCATTAGTAAAACTCATTATACACTTACACACATGTGAATCCCTGTTTATTTATATATATTTATGCCTTTGGAACAATAGTGAGACAAAAGGAATGTATGAAATTCGACTAGGCGAGAACAAATTCTTTACACCTCACCTAATTTGCCTTTGTGCACCAGCACTCCAGTTTCATGCCTTTCTCTTGAACCTTTTTGTAACACACTCTGTAATACTTAGGTGAAATAGCACCTTCTCTTCTGTGGAGGGGAATTCCCTTGCAAAGCTTGGTTTATTGGCCCCCTGAGGCACGTAAGGCACTCTGTGGGACAGAGATAAGGCAGTGCTTCTTGGTGGGCCATGCTGAAGGAAGTATATCTGCAGAAGAAGATGGGGATGGGGGAGAAGGTCAGGGAGTAGTGAGTATTCTTCCAAAAGGGTTTGCAAAGCAGACTGTGAATACTCCTGAAAGAAGTGCTGTACATCAATTCCCTATATGCTTTCCTTTTAAACATAAACCAACAGTTCCAGTGGAGAAAGTTAAATGCCTGAACTGAGCAAATGGTTCAAGAAAGAGTTAAAAAAAAGGAAAAAAAAAGGAAAAGGGTATGAGTATAAAAATGGGGAAAAAATTAGGTTGCAGGAAGATTGCATCATTCTCTCAAACAGTACTATATGAGTAGATGACAGCAGCAAGCCTCTGTATCTTCTAGACTTTGTGTATAAAGATGCATGTGCTGGAATATTGCTTACTATGGTAATTTTATTTTAAAAATCGATCTAGTTCTAGGGTTCTGTTAAGGAATCAGTTATATACATATCAGAAAGCACTGATGCAAGTTAAATCTTCAGTGTTACAGTTAGGATCAAACCCATTGCCTGCTCTTTATTTGGTATCCCTGCTTTGCTCCCCTCCTCCCCAGCTCTTTGGCACAAACTGAGATGTGAAACAGCATCCTGAGCTCCTAGAAGTGCTCTAAAATCATACTATTGTCATTAGTGCCTTCTAACTGAGTAGCCTTGCTGGCAATACAAAACCAAGGCATTCTTTGTCCTGTGAAAGATTCCCCCAAGCCATGATCAATCTAGGAAGTGCTGCTGGATCCATGGATGTTAACGGTTCCACCAGGCCCTGCATCTGTGTAGTACAGTGTCCCTGCTGCTCCTGTTGTCTGTCCAGTTTTTTTTAAACCAAGCAATCTCTCTTTCAAATACAGAAGATGCTTGACAGCCCCATTTTTTTTCACTTTCTGAGGCTAATCATGACCATTCTGAAATTTTCAAAATGTACTTTTGATTTATAACAGTCCTTCAGTTAATTAAACCCTGACAACTTTTATGTGTTTCCTTTGCATGCTGGCAGCACTGACATGCTGTCCTTGAAAACATCTTTTAGTCAGCTGAAAGTGCATATGGCTCCTCTGCTTTGGCTGAGGCTTTGGAGGTGGGACAGAGTAAATTTTCTTCAAAGCAGCCCACATGGTGCTGTGTTTTGGATCAGGGACGAAAGCAGTGTTAATAACAAACCAGTGTTTGGCTGCTGCCGAGCAGTCCTTGCACACAGGCAAGGCTTTCTCTTTTTCCTGCTCTGCTCTCTCAGTGAGTAGGCTGGGGCAGGGGGGAAAGAACTTGGGAGGGGACCCAAAATGACCAAAGGGATATTCCATGGCAGATAATGTCATGCTCAGCAGTGATCCCAAACTAGGGGAAGGGGGTTTTTGAGGAGGTGGCTATTGCTCAGAGAGTGGCTGGGCATTGCTGTACTTGAGGGAAGTGGTGAGTGATGGCCTTTACAATATTTGTTTTGGGTTTTTTCTACCACTTTCAGTTATTAAACTGACTTTATCTGGACCGGTGAATTTTCTCACTTCTGCTCTTCCTAATCTCTCCCCCATCTTGTGGTGCAGCTGCTGGATGCAGTCAACCCACCACAAGAAGGAATTGGGAAGAAAAGGGTGGGGGACAAAAAGTACTGGGCCCTCATTATTGCAAAATTTTATACTGTCTACCACGTGGAAATACCCCTCTGGCTGGTCTACCATGACAAAACATTAGAAGCTCTAGACTCTCTTACCATATGATTTACCAGAGGAACTTCTTAAGAAATCTTACTGTGCTGAGAACCACCATATTTGTGGTTTGGGTTCTGTCAATGTATCTTGCAAAAAGCAATAGCATCTTATAGTAAAAAAAGTATATGAACATCATAGTTGGAGACCAGGAAGAGGTTTGAGATAAAGCATATTATATTTACAGAAAATTACCTGTTAGATAATTGAAAAATTGGTATTAGTATAAGAATTATAAACATAATTGCTGAATGGCTTAAAGCACCTCATTTAGAATTAAAAAGAGATTATGCTGAAAGCAGAAATATAGTACTGGAGAAGGAATAATAGTGAATCTACTCTGTTGTGGTAGTAACCAGTTTTATTTTGTATTTTTGCTAAGAACTATGGGATAAAATGTTGCCTTGAAGATGGAGAAGACTGAATTTTCCAAAGGGACTTGCAAATGCCTGAGGAGTGCTAAACTACCTCGCTTGTAGAAATGCATTTCAATTTAGTAATATAAAATGCAAAGTCCTGATTTAGGTAGATAAAAAGAGTGTTTGCTGTCAGCTGGAAGATTACCTGTTCAAAATTCAGTAGCAGAGAAGACTCATATTGGACAGACCTGACTATATGATGCAGCCCTGAAAAACAAATCTTTGCTGAGTTGAGTGAGTAGAGATGAGGGGACATGGATCCATCCTGTAAGAGCCAGGTGTAAAAATAAATACTGTTCTCCCTATAAACAGGTACTCCTGTTTGAGAAGGATAAATGAATGCCATAATGTAAGCCAGAAAAAATCTACAAAGGCCAACAGTCTAGGATGAAATCTTTTTATCCTGAGAAAACAGGAGTAAGATGACTTGGTTTGTTTAACTTAACAAAGCAAAGGCTTAAAGGAAATGCAATTGCTGCATACAAATGTATTGGTTGAAAAACATCAGAGAGACAAAACAACTATTTACCTAAAAGGAAAATTTAGCAGAAGAACAAATTACATTTAGGCAGGAAATCAGAAATTTCTGAATGTCAGATGTTTGAGTGTCTACACTGTTCTTCTAGCAAACATAAAGGGAGTAAAAATCCCTCTCTCCCCTGATATTTTTGGAGGTGTTCTTTAATATGTTTATGAAGGGGATTGCGTGACATAGCTGGCTGATAGCAGAGACTGAATTTGTTATTCTGGCAAGTCCATTCTAGTATATCACTGTATATATTGATATATATATATATATTCTGGGTGCCAGAAGCAGGAAAGCACAGTGTGTGAGGTGTATACAGGTACTTATACTCTTACAGAGAGCTGTCATGCTGTCAACATTACCTGTAATGAAGCCACTAATCACTCAGAAGGCTCCCAAATGGCAGTTCTAATTGTTATAACTAATTCAGTTTTCCACTACCAGGAAGAGTGCCTTATCTTTAGTTCTTAGCATTTGGAAGCTTTTAGCCTAATCAACATGTTTAAGTGAAGTGTCATTTCATTTTCAGTTTTTCCACTGTTCTGGACCATCACGTGTTTTGACTCTGAAAGAGTTTCAGTGAATTACTAAAACGTAATTTCACTAAATGTCTAAAAAACATTCAGTGCATGAAGCCCATGTAACCAGGAAGGCAATGGTAGCTTTTCCATTAAGTGTTTTAGTCAGACTTTCCCTTGAAAGGTAGACTCCATCTTAGAAACCCCAAGATCAATACACAATGGCTGAGGAACATTTTTTTTATGTAGAAAAAGATTTTAATTTAGACTGTTCTCTGAAGCACCACTGCTTAGTAACATTCCCAAAGTCACTTCCTCTTAAATATACAAAGAGGGATTTACCTAAAAATACCTGAAAATCCAAGGCGACTAAGCACAAATACTCTTGACTCACTTGACTCACTATTACGTCTGTTTACTAAGTTCAGTGATTTTTGTGAATGCCTTTCAGAGGGCAGCTGATGTGAGGCCTCCTTAGCCTGACAGACAGGGTTCCAGAACTGACAGTGTGTCTGGGCTAAGGTCTTAGTAAAGTACCACTTTGAAAATCCCCAGAAATGTTCTTCTCTTCAGTTATGTGGAGGACTCAGGATAAACTTATGAGTGCATAGGCAAGTAACTTATGCTGTCTTGTTCTTTCCCTGCTCTATAAAAATTAGTAAGACACAATTCTGTTCCAGGCATGGAAAAAGATACGCAACAGTTGAAAAAAGACTTTATTATATGGATTTTACAGTTCTTATATGGTTTCAAATATGTGCATTGTATGTTACCCCTACAGCTCTATTGCCTGGCCATGATAAGACTTGCCTCGAGTTGTCTGTTCCCTGCTTTCCCCGCTCCTCCCTCTGATTGGCTGAAAATGCTGCAGTGTGGAGAGAGCTACCATTGGTCCTTTCCTTTCCCAGTTCCTCCCCAGTTCCTCCCTCTTCTCCCGAGTCCTTATTCCTATTCGTTCCCCTGGTTGTCTGTCTCATGCTCCACCCAATTTGCTGGCACTTTCTACCCCAGAACTTATATAAACCCTCGCACATATTCAATAAACAGCCATTGCACCTGATCTCCAACTTCAACTTGGGCCCTTTGGGCAATGTCATGGTTCCACTCCCCTCTCCCCCGGACCGTGGCACAATTCTAATAGAATGGTTTTCTCTTATGTTAAGGTGCTCTGAGTGGAAGCACCATCCACTGTTCTGAAGTGTTTTATAAAAGGTAGAGCATGGATCTGAGGAATATAGAAGATGTTGCCTTTGTAGGTGCTTGTCACGAGAGTCTACACTTTTTTCATCTGCTGGCTTTCCCCACCAAGCAATCTTGGTGATCAGAGCAAATTCTTTTCATTAAAATCGATGTCTCATCCACTGGGGTAATTTGCTCATTAGATTAAGTTGCCAATGGCAGTTTTTCTGGAGTTGAGGGAGAGAAGTAGTTTCTTTTAAGTAAGTAGTTTGGTGTAAATAAGTGGTGTACTTTATCTAAGGGAAAAAAGAACATATAACACGTAAATAGAGAAGGTGAGGTTATTGAAAATACAACCTTAACTGGAAAGTAAGAAAATACTACCAGTGGCTGTAGTCAGGAAGCACAGTGCTGAACAGACAGAACAAAAAATTGACTTGTAAATAGGTCTTTGGGAGGTTATTACTTAAGGTACATGTATTATTCAAGAAGTGATAAGGCCTGGAATCTCCATTTGGAGATAAATATTTCATTGTGCAAGGCACTGCACAGGTAAAAATACAGGGGGGAAGGGTATACATTTCCAACCACCTTTCAATTTAATGAGAGAACTTATGCAAGAAAGAAACAATGGGACTGCACCCTAACACTGACCAGATTGAAATGATGGTTAAGCTGTTGGAAGACACGGTGGTAGCTTTGCAATTTTAGTTCCTCCACTTCAGTGTTTCATATCTCCTGTTAGTGAATCATATCTTTATTTTACAGAAAGTACCTCAAAGGATGAGCAGGTGCAAGCATGATGGGAGGTTTCAGGCTGGTCATTTGCAGAATTCCTATTCCTTCTAGGTCAGATTTTTTAGACAATGAAAGTTCACATCTATTAGCTTTCATCTATTTCAATATTAAGCAAAAATTTAAGTGGGATATTTTGCTTTTTGAGTCTTTCTAATGCCAGGGTGCAGCTAACACAGTGAGAGTCGGATGTACAGTGACCCTGCAGAGTCTGATTCACCTGCTCATATGCTGCTCTCTCAATGGTTTGCATGGATATTTGTTGGAGGTGCCCCGATGGAGACCTATGAGTGGTGAAGTTAGTAAAAAGAAATCAGAAGAAGAGGGAGAAAAACTATTGGAATGTACTTACATCTTGGTGCGCTGAATGTGACTGTTGGGACCACGAGAGTGTTTGTTTCAGCGTGCATTTACTCCATTATGCAATTGTTTTATTATTAGTATAATATATTTTATTATAAAAATGTGTTATTCCCTGCACTGTACCCCTGTTACCCTTTTTTCTGTTTGTTCGATGTAAGCCCTTTCCTTATTCATCCTACCCTGCTTCACCTCTTCTACCCAAAGACAGTTTCCCATTTGTCCATGTTCAGACAGTTCCACCCCTTGTTGCTGTGATTTGCCACTCCTGGAATACTCCTCCCACTCTCCACCCTTTGTTCCAGAAAAGTCTCTACTCTCCCTATAAAAGCCAGCATCCATGTTTTATAAATGTTCATTCTGTGTCACACCATGACTACGTGCAGAGTGATCCTTTCTGGGTCTTGCATTAAGAGGGGTTACAGCTCTCCTTACATCAGATATTTTGCTAAGAGCAGCCACAGAGATAATCCCACAGCCAAATAATTTAATCCTTGACATTCATTTTGTAGCCTGCTGAATGGTAAAAGTACAAATGAATATCAGGACAAAAGAAGGTGAAAGCTTTAGTTTTGGTTGCTTCTTTTTATTCCTTTCACCTACTGTTAAAAGTACCTTAATATTCAGCCCAGACAGCAGGGACTTCTAGTTTAGTAGACATGACAATGGACTGTAGATAATCTACAAAAGCAGCATAGGGTATCACTGAGACCACATTCATCTATAATAATTAATTCAGGAAAATTACAAAGCAGTAGACCACCTCCGTAGTAAATACCAATCTTTGACCCACAAGATATTTCTCTTAGTGCACTTTAACAATAGCTTTAGGTCATAATTTAAAAATAACAATATTAATAAGCTCTATACTCCCTCTCACCGATCTCTGGGAATGGTCCTGGGGAATTACTTACCTATTTCCACCACCACTAATGGGCTTCGCTCTGTCCTCCGGAACAAGGGGTAAAGCTGTTCCGCCCACCAGCTTAGGGAGAAACGCTGGAGGCACATCTCCAAGCCCCTCCCCGCCCCCCCACAGGCCCCCCCAATTCCACAAAATTCTCCAAGCTTCACTTGGACTCACCACGGCGACGCACGGCGCAGTCCCAGCCGCTGCGGGGAGCCGGGCCCTCTGGGCAAAGGCAGCTGGGCCTGCGAAGCAGCGGCCAAAGAGCCTGCCGCCCTGCTTACAGGGGGCTCCGGCTGCTGCCTGGAGCACAAAGCGCCCGGGACACCAGGGCACTGGCCCCGACTTACAGGGGGGCCCTGGGCCCAAAGGCCTGCGGAGGCTCCTTCTCTCCGCTTCGGGGGGCACCTGACCCGCTCCCCGCTAACGGGGCGGTCGCCCCGCACAGGCTGCCAGCTGAGGGAGCGCAAAGGCTCCCAGACCCGGACCCTGCTTACAGGCGGGTCCACACCCAGGGAGCCACGGAGCTCGGCCTTCCCCCGTGGCATCAAGTACCTGACTCAAGGGCCAGGCACCGGGGCTCGTGGCCTAAGGCCCTGAGCTGGGCCCCGAGGGCAGGGAGGGCACACGCCCAGCCCCACGCCTGTGAGAGGCCGGGGGACCCCGCGGGACACCCGCCTGATTACAGGGGGTCCCTCCAACCGCCCGCCGAGCAGGGGGGACGCACAAAGCCCCACTTAGGGGGCCGCCCCCCCGAGGCCCGGCACTCCCAACAACGGCCTCGCGGCCTAAGGCCGCCGGGGACAGGGCCCCCAGCCCCGAGGACGGGGGGAGGCCCACGCTGGCACGTCGCCAGCAGGACGGGCAGCCCCGCGGCGCGGGTGGCGGTGCCCGCGCCGCCACTAACGGGCTTCGCTCCGTCCTCGGGAACAAGGGGCAAGCCCCTCAGCACGCTGAGGCCCTTCTGGCCCGTGCGCAGCCCGGGGGCGAGCCTGAGGCTCTCCTCTCCTGCTCGGCGGCGGGGCTGGCTCCCCACGGGTTGGCGCACAGAGCCCCTCTTTCCCTCCTGGGAAGTCCAAGCTACGCTGCCTACATCTCTACGGGGGCTACAGGAGGGACCAGCTCGCTCGCTCACTCACACCGACAAGACAAGCACACAAAGGGGGAACGTCCCAGAAGAGGGAGCAAGCTCTGTGCGCCGAGCCGTGGGGAGCCGGCCCTGCCGCCGAGCAGGACGGGAGAGCCTCGGGCTTGCCCCCGGGCTGCGCACGGGCCAGAAGGGCCTCAGCGCGCTGAGGGGCAAGGGACACGGGCTGTGACGCACCCCGACTACGGGGGGTCACTCTGGCTAGGGGCCGCCAGCAGGCACCAAAGGCGCCAAGGGAAAAAGCCCTGCCCTGCTTACAGGGCGGGCGGGCTGGGGGTCCGGGAGAGCTCCGTTTCCCCCCTCGGGCGCGGAGGCGGGCACTCTCGCCCTCCTTACAGGGCGGTTGCCCCTCTCTCCGGGCAGCCACAGGAGCGCGATGGCAAAAGGCCAACGCCAAGCAAAGCAAAGGACCTGGCCCTGCTTACAGGGAGGTCGCCCAGCGCCAAGCCGGCCGGCGCAGCCGGAAGCTGCCCGCCGGACTCTTAGGGATCCCTGCCCCGGGTCATGCCAGGGAGGGGCCTTTGCCCAGAGGGCCCTTCTCCCGCCCCCTCTTGAGCGCGAAGCCGACGCTCTTCTTCCTGGCTCTTGCCTCGCCGTCCCGCTCCACGGCTCCGCTTTCTTCTCGGAGGGCTCCTGCCAAGGCAGGAGGACGCAGCTCGGACTCAGAAGCTCCGAGTCCTCGCACCGAAGGAAAGCAGGACCCAGAGGCAGCTGCCCCGGCCACCACCCGCCCGCCCACTCGCAGCACCCCCACACCTCCACACCACCCCCCAACTTCAGCTGCTCTCACCGCGGCGTCTTCCCGCGTCGGCGCTGCCGTCCCTCCCTCGCGACGCCTCTCCCGCTCTCTTCTCCGACGGCTTCTGCCAGGGCGGGAGGAGGCGGGTGGGCCCGAGAAACACCAGCTCCTCCGTACCAAGGCAACCCGCACCCCACGCCCCCGGAGGCACATCTCCAAGCCCCTCCCCGCCCCCCCACAGGCCCCCCCACTTCCACCAAACTCTCCAAGCTTCACTTGGACTCACCACGGCGACGCACGGCGCAGTCCCAGCCGCTGCGGGGAGCCGGGCCCTCTGGGCAAAGGCAGCTGGGCATGCGAAGCAGCGGCCAAAGAGCCTGCCGCCCTGCTTACAGGGGGCTCCGGCTGCTGCCTGGACCACAAAGCGCCTGGGACACCAGGGCACTGGCCCCGACTTACAGGGGGGCCCTGGGCCCAAAGGCCTGCGGAGGCTCCTTCTCTCCGCTTCGGGGGGCACCTGACCCGCTCCCCGCTAACGGGGCGGTCGCCCCGCACAGGCTGCCAGCTGAGGGAGCGCAAAGGCTCCCAGACCCGGACCCTGCTTACAGGCGGGTCCACACCCAGGGAGCCACGGAGCTCGGCCTTCCCCCGCAGCATCAAGTACCTGGCTCAAGGGCCAGGCACTGGGGCTCGTGGCCTAAGGCCCTGAGCTGGGCCCCGAGGGCAGGGAGGGCACACGCCCAGCCCCACGCCTGTGAGAGGCCGGGGGACCCCGCGGGACACCCGCCTGATTACAGGGGGTCCCTCCAACCGCCCGCCGAGCAGGGGGGACGCACAAAGCCCCACTTAGGGGGCCGCCCCCCCGAGGCCCGGCACTCCCAACAATGGCCTCGCGGCCTAAGGCCGCCGGGGACAGGGCCCCCAGCCCCGAGGACGGGGGGAGGCCCACGCTGGCACGTCGCCAGCAGGACGGGCAGCCCCGCGGCGCGGGTGGCGATGCCCGCGCCGCCACTAACGGGCTTCGCTCCGTCCTCGGGAACAAGGGGCAAGCCCCTCAGCACGCTGAGGCCCTTCTGGCCCGTGCGCGGCCCGGGGGCGAGCCCGAGGCTCTCCTCTCCTGCTCGGCGGCGGGGCTGGCTCCCCACGGGTTGGCGCACAGAGCCCCTCTTTCCCTCCTGGGAAGTCCAAGCTACGCTGCCTACATCTCTACGGGGGCTACAGGAGGGACCAGCTCGCTCGCTCACTCACACCGACAAGACAAGCACACAAAGGGGGAACGTCCCAGAAGAGGGAGCAAGCTCTGTGCGCCGAGCCGTGGGGAGCCGGCCCTGCCGCCGAGCAGGACGGGAGAGCCTCGGGCTTGCCCCCGGGCTGCGCACGGGCCAGAAGGGCCTCAGCGCGCTGAGGGGCAAGGGACACGGGCTGTGACGCACCCCGACTACGGGGGGTCACTCTGGCTAGGGGCCGCCAGCAGGCACCAAAGGCGCCAAGGGAAAAAGCCCTGCCCTGCTTACAGGGCGGGCGGGCTGGGGGTCCGGGAGAGCTCCGTTTCCCCCCTCGGGCGCGGAGGCGGGCACTCTCGCCCTCCTTACAGGGCGGTTGCCCCTCTCTCCGGGCAGCCACAGGAGCGCGATGGCAAAAGGCCAACGCCAAGCAAAGCAAAGGACCTGGCCCTGCTTACAGGGAGGTCGCCCAGCGCCAAGCCGGCCGGCGCAGCCGGAAGCTGCCCGCCGGACTCTTAGGGATCCCTGCCCCGGGTCATGCCAGGGAGGGGCCTTTGCCCAGAGGGCCCTTCTCCCGCCCCCTCTTGAGCGCGAAGCCGACGCTCTTCTTCCTGGCTCTTGCCTCGCCGTCCCGCTCCACGGCTCCGCTTTCTTCTCGGAGGGCTCCTGCCAAGGCAGGAGGACGCAGCTCGGACTCAGAAGCTCCGAGTCCTTGCACCGAAGGAAAGCAGGACCCAGAGGCAGCTGCCCCGGCCACCACCCGCCCGCCCACTCGCAGGACCCCCACACCTCCACACCACCCCCCAACTTCAGCTGCTCTCACCGCGGCGTCTTCCCGCGTCGGCGCTGCCGTCCCTCCCTCGCGACGCCTCTTCCGCTCTCTTCTCCGACGGCTTCTGCCAGGGCGGGAGGAGGCGGGTGGGCCCGAGAAACACCAGCTCCTCCGTACCAAGGCAACCCGCACCCCACGCCCCCGGAGGCACATCTCCAAGCCCCTCCCCGCCCCCCCCACAGGCCCCCCCACTTCCACCAAACTCTCCAAGCTTCACTTGGACTCACCACGGCGACGCACGGCGCAGTCCCAGCCGCTGCGGGGAGCCGGGCCCTCTCTGGGCAAAGGCAGCTGGGCCTGGGAAGCAGCGGCCAAAGAGCCTGCCGCCCTGCTTACAGGGGGCTCCGGCTGCTGCCTGGAGCACAAAGCGCCCGGGACACCAGGGCACTGGCCCCGACTTACAGGGGGGCCCTGGGCCCAAAGGCCTGCGGAGGCTCCTTCTCTCCGCTTCGGGGGGCACCTGACCCGCTCCCCGCTAACGGGGCGGTCGCCCCGCACAGGCTGCCAGCTGAGGGAGCGCAAAGGCTCCCAGACCCGGACCCTGCTTACAGGCGGGTGCGCACCCAGGGAGCCACGGAGCTCGGCCTTCCCCCGCAGCATCAAGTACCTGGCTCAAGGGCCAGGCACTGGGGCTCGTGGCCTAAGGCCCTGAGCTGGGCCCCGAGGGCAGGGAGGGCACACGCCCAGCCCCACGCCTGTGAGAGGCCGGGGGACCCCGCGGGACACCCGCCTGATTACAGGGGGTCCCTCCAACCGCCCGCCGAGCAGGGGGGACGCACAAAGCCCCACTTAGGGGGCCGCCCCCCCGAGGCCCGGCACTCCCAACAACGGCCTCGCGGCCTAAGGCCGCCGGGGACAGGGCCCCCAGCCCCGAGGACGGGGGGAGGCCCACGCTGGCACGTCGCCAGCAGGACGGGCAGCCCCGCGGCGCGGGTGGCGGTGCCCGCGCCGCCACTAACGGGCTTCGCTCCGTCCTCGGGAACAAGGGGCAAGCCCCTCAGCACGCTGAGGCCCTTCTGGCCCGTGCGCGGCCCGGGGGCGAGCCCGAGGCTCTCCTCTCCTGCTCGGCGGCGGGGCTGGCTCCCCACGGGTTGGCGCACAGAGCCCCTCTTTCCCTCCTGGGAAGTCCAAGCTACGCTGCCTACATCTCTACGGGGGCTACAGGAGGGACCAGCTCGCTCGCTCACTCACACCGACAAGACAAGCACACAAAGGGGGAACGTCCCAGAAGAGGGAGCAAGCTCTGTGCGCCGAGCCGTGGGGAGCCGGCCCTGCCGCCGAGCAGGACGGGAGAGCCTCGGGCTTGCCCCCGGGCTGCGCACGGGCCAGAAGGGCCTCAGCGCGCTGAGGGGCAAGGGACACGGGCTGTGACGCACCCCGACTACGGGGGGTCACTCTGGCTAGGGGCCGCCAGCAGGCACCAAAGGCGCCAAGGGAAAAAGCCCTGCCCTGCTTACAGGGCGGGCGGGCTGGGGGTCCGGGAGAGCTCCGTTTCCCCCCTCGGGCGCGGAGGCGGGCACTCTCGCCCTCCTTACAGGGCGGTTGCCCCTCTCTCCGGGCAGCCACAGGAGCGCGATGGCAAAAGGCCAACGCCAAGCAAAGCAAAGGACCTGGCCCTGCTTACAGGGAGGTCGCCCAGCGCCAAGCCGGCCGGCGCAGCCGGAAGCTGCCCGCCGGACTCTTAGGGATCCCTGCCCCGGGTCATGCCAGGGAGGGGCCTTTGCCCAGAGGGCCCTTCTCCCGCCCCCTCTTGAGCGCGAAGCCGACGCTCTTCTTCCTGGCTCTTGCCTCGCCGTCCCGCTCCACGGCTCCGCTTTCTTCTCGGAGGGCTCCTGCCAAGGCAGGAGGACGCAGCTCGGACTCAGAAGCTCCGAGTCCTTGCACCGAAGGAAAGCAGGACCCAGAGGCAGCTGCCCCGGCCACCACCCGCCCGCCCACTCGCAGGACCCCCACACCTCCACACCACCCCCCAACTTCAGCTGCTCTCACCGCGGCGTCTTCCCGCGTCGGCGCTGCCGTCCCTCCCTCGCGACGCCTCTTCCGCTCTCTTCTCCGACGGCTTCTGCCAGGGCGGGAGGAGGCGGGTGGGCCCGAGAAACACCAGCTCCTCCGTACCAAGGCAACCCGCACCCCACGCCCCCGGAGGCACATCTCCAAGCCCCTCCCCGCCCCCCCACAGGCCCCCCCACTTCCACCAAACTCTCCAAGCTTCACTTGGACTCACCACGGCGACGCACGGCGCAGTCCCAGCCGCTGCGGGGAGCCGGGCCCTCTGGGCAAAGGCAGCTGGGCCTGGGAAGCAGCGGCCAAAGAGCCTGCCGCCCTGCTTACAGGGGGCTCCGGCTGCTGCCTGGAGCACAAAGCGCCCGGGACACCAGGGCACTGGCCCCGACTTACAGGGGGGCCCTGGGCCCAAAGGCCTGCGGAGGCTCCTTCTCTCCGCTTCGGGGGGCACCTGACCCGCTCCCCGCTAACGGGGCGGTCGCCCCGCACAGGCTGCCAGCTGAGGGAGCGCAAAGGCTCCCAGACCCGGACCCTGCTTACAGGCGGGTGCACACCCAGGGAGCCACGGAGCTCGGCCTTCCCCCGCAGCATCAAGTACCTGGCTCAAGGGCCAGGCACTGGGGCTCGTGGCCTAAGGCCCTGAGCTGGGCCCCGAGGGCAGGGAGGGCACACGCCCAGCCCCACGCCTGTGAGAGGCCGGGGGACCCCGCGGGACACCCGCCTGATTACAGGGGGTCCCTCCAACCGCCCGCCGAGCAGGGGGGACGCACAAAGCCCCACTTAGGGGGCCGCCCCCCCGAGGCCCGGCACTCCCAACAACGGCCTCGCGGCCTAAGGCCGCCGGGGACAGGGCCCCCAGCCCCGAGGACGGGGGGAGGCCCACGCTGGCACGTCGCCAGCAGGACGGGCAGCCCCGCGGCGCGGGTGGCGGTGCCCGCGCCGCCACTAACGGGCTTCGCTCCGTCCTCGGGAACAAGGGGCAAGCCCCTCAGCACGCTGAGGCCCTTCTGGCCCGTGCGCAGCCCGGGGGCGAGCCTGAGGCTCTCCTCTCCTGCTCGGCGGCGGGACCAGCTCGGCTCGCACCGACAAGACAAGCACCACGTCCCGGCAAGCTCTGTGCGCCGAGCCGTGGGGAGCCGGCCCTGCCGCCGAGCAGGACAGGAGAGCCTCGGGCTCGCCCCCGGGCTGCGCGCGGGCCAGAAGGGCCTCAGCGCGCTGAGGGGCAAGGGACACGGGCTGTGACGCCCCGACTACGGGGGGTCACTCTGGCTAGGGGCCGCCAGCAGGCACCAAAGGTGCCAAGGGAAAAAGCCCTGCCCTGCTTACAGGGCGGGCGGGCTGGGGGTCGGGAGAGCTCCGTTTCCCCCCTCGGGCGCGGAGGCGGGCACTCTCGCCCTCCTTACAGGGCGGTTGCCCCTCTCTCCGGGCAGCCACAGGAGCGCGATGGCAAAAGGCCAACGCCAAGCAAAGCAAAGGACCTGGCCCTGCTTACAGGGAGGTCGCCCAGCGCCAAGCCGGCCGGCGCAGCCGGAAGCTGCCCGCCGGACTCTTAGGGATCCCTGCCCCGGGTCATGCCAGGGAGGGGCCTTTGCCCAGAGGGCCCTTCTCCCGCCCCCTCTTGAGCGCGAAGCCGACGCTCTTCTTCCTGGCTCTTGCCTCGCCGTCCCGCTCCACGGCTCCGCTTTCTTCTCGGAGGGCTCCTGCCAAGGCAGGAGGACGCAGCTCGGACTCAGAAGCTCCGAGTCCTTGCACGGAAGGAAAGCAGGACCCAGGGGCAGCTGGCCCAGCCACCACCCGCCCGCCCACTCGCAGGACCCCCCCACCTCCAGGCCACCCCCCAACTTCAGCCGCTCTCACCGCGGCGTCTTCCCGCGCCGGCGCTGCCGTCCCGCGCGACGCCTCTTCCGCTCTCTTCTCCGACGGCTTCTGCCAGGGCGGGAGGAGGCGGGTGGGCCCGAGAAACACCAGCTCCTCCGTACCAAGGCAACCCGCACCCCACGCCCCCGGAGGCACATCTCCAAGCCCCTCCCCGCCCCCCCACAGGCCCCCCCACTTCCACCAAACTCTCCAAGCTTCACTTGGACTCACCACGGCGACGCACGGCGCAGTCCCAGCCGCTGCGGGGAGCCGGGCCCTCTGGGCAAAGGCAGCTGGGCCTGGGAAGCAGCGGCCAAAGAGCCTGCCGCCCTGCTTACAGGGGGCTCCGGCTGCTGCCTGGACCACAAAGCACCTGGGACACCAGGGCACTGGCCCCGACTTACAGGGGGGCCCTGGGCCCAAAGGCCTGCGGAGGCTCCCTTCTCTCCGCTTCGGGGGGCACCTGACCCGCTCCCCGCTAACGGGGCGGTCGCCCCGCACAGGCTGCCAGCTGAGGGAGCGCAAAGGCTCCCAGACCCGGACCCTGCTTACAGGCGGGTCCACACCCAGGGAGCCACGGAGCTCGGCCTTCCCCCGCAGCATCAAGTACCTGACTCAAGGGCCAGGCACCGGGGCTCGTGGCCTAAGGCCCTGAGCTGGGCCCCGAGGGCAGGGAGGGCACACGCCCAGCCCCACGCCTGTGAGAGGCCGGGGGACCCCGCGGGACACCCGCCTGATTACAGGGGGTCCCTCCAACCGCCCGCCGAGCAGGGGGGACGCACAAAGCCCCACTTAGGGGGCCGCCCCCCCGAGGCCCGGCACTCCCAACAACGGCCTCGCGGCCTAAGGCCGCCGGGGACAGGGCCCCCAGCCCCGAGGACGGGGGGAGGCCCACGCTGGCACGTCGCCAGCAGGACGGGCAGCCCCGCGGCGCGGGTGGCGGTGCCCGCGCCGCCACTAACGGGCTTCGCTCCGTCCTGGGGGACAAGGGGCAAGCCCCTCAGCACGCTGAGGCCCTTCTGGCCCGTGCGCAGCCCGGGGGCGAGCCTGAGGCTCTCCTCTCCTGCTCGGCGGCGGGGCTGGCTCCCCACGGGTTGGCGCACAGAGCCCCTCTTTCCCTCCTGGGAAGTCCAAGCTACGCTGCCTACATCTCTACGGGGGCTACAGGAGGGACCAGCTCGCTCGCTCACTCGCACCGACAAGACAAGCACACAAAGGGGGAACGTCCCAGAAGAGGGAGCAAGCTCTGTGCGCCGAGCCGTGGGGAGCCGGCCCTGCCGCCGAGCAGGACAGGAGAGCCTCGGGCTCGCCCCCGGGCTGCGCGCGGGCCAGAAGGGCCTCAGCGCGCTGAGGGGCAAGGGACACGGGCTGTGACGCACCCCGACTACGGGGGGGTCACTCTGGCTAGGGGCCGCCAGCAGGCACCAAAGGTGCCAAGGGAAAAAGCCCTGCCCTGCTTACAGGGCGGGCGGGCTGGGGGTCCGGGAGAGCTCCGTTTCCCCCCTCGGGCGCGGAGGCGGGCACTCTCGCCCTCCTTACAGGGCGGTTGCCCCTCTCTCCGGGCAGCCACAGGAGCGCGATGGCAAAAGGCCAACGCCAAGCAAAGCAAAGGACCTGGCCCTGCTTACAGGGAGGTCGCCCAGCGCCAAGCCGGCCGGCGCAGCCGGAAGCTGCCCGCCGGACTCTTAGGGATCCCTGCCCCGGGTCATGCCAGGGAGGGGCCTTTGCCCAGAGGGCCCTTCTCCCGCCCCCTCTTGAGCGCGAAGCCGACGCTCTTCTTCCTGGCTCTTGCCTCGCCGTCCCGCTCCACGGCTCCGCTTTCTTCTCGGAGGGCTCCTGCCAAGGCAGGAGGACGCAGCTCGGACTCAGAAGCTCCGAGTCCTTGCACCGAAGGAAAGCAGGACCCAGAGGCAGCTGCCCCGGCCACCACCCGCCCGCCCACTCGCAGGACCCCCACACCTCCACACCACCCCCCAACTTCAGCTGCTCTCACCGCGGCGTCTTCCCGCGTCGGCGCTGCCGTCCCTCCCTCGCGACGCCTCTTCCGCTCTCTTCTCCGACGGCTTCTGCCAGGGCGGGAGGAGGCGGGTGGGCCCGAGAAACACCAGCTCCTCCGTACCAAGGCAACCCGCACCCCACGCCCCCGGAGGCACATCTCCAAGCCCCTCCCCGCCCCCCCCACAGGCCCCCCCACTTCCACCAAACTCTCCAAGCTTCACTTGGACTCACCACGGCGACGCACGGCGCAGTCCCAGCCGCTGCGGGGAGCCGGGCCCTCTGGGCAAAGGCAGCTGGGCATGCGAAGCAGCGGCCAAAGAGCCTGCCGCCCTGCTTACAGGGGGCTCCGGCTGCTGCCTGGACCACAAAGCGCCTGGGACACCAGGGCACTGGCCCCGACTTACAGGGGGGCCCTGGGCCCAAAGGCCTGCGGAGGCTCCTTCTCTCCGCTTCGGGGGGCACCTGACCCGCTCCCCGCTAACGGGGCGGTCGCCCCGCACAGGCTGCCAGCTGAGGGAGCGCAAAGGCTCCCAGACCCGGACCCTGCTTACAGGCGGGTCCACACCCAGGGAGCCACGGAGCTCGGCCTTCCCCCGCAGCATCAAGTACCTGGCTCAAGGGCCAGGCACTGGGGCTCGTGGCCTAAGGCCCTGAGCTGGGCCCCGAGGGCAGGGAGGGCACACGCCCAGCCCCACGCCTGTGAGAGGCCGGGGGACCCCGCGGGACACCCGCCTGATTACAGGGGGTCCCTCCAACCGCCCGCCGAGCAGGGGGGACGCACAAAGCCCCACTTAGGGGGCCGCCCCCCCGAGGCCCGGCACTCCCAACAACGGCCTCGCGGCCTAAGGCCGCCGGGGACAGGGCCCCCAGCCCCGAGGACGGGGGGAGGCCCACGCTGGCACGTCGCCAGCAGGACGGGCAGCCCCGCGGCGCGGGTGGCGGTGCCCGCGCCGCCACTAACGGGCTTCGCTCCGTCCTCGGGAACAAGGGGCAAGCCCCTCAGCACGCTGAGGCCCTTCTGGCCCGTGCGCAGCCCGGGGGCGAGCCTGAGGCTCTCCTCTCCTGCTCGGCGGCGGGGCTGGCTCCCCACGGGTTGGCGCACAGAGCCCCTCTTTCCCTCCTGGGAAGTCCAAGCTACGCTGCCTACATCTCTACGGGGGCTACAGGAGGGACCAGCTCGCTCGCTCACTCACACCGACAAGACAAGCACACAAAGGGGGAACGTCCCAGAAGAGGGAGCAAGCTCTGTGCGCCGAGCCGTGGGGAGCCGGCCCTGCCGCCGAGCAGGACAGGAGAGCCTCGGGCTCGCCCCCGGGCTGCGCACGGGCCAGAAGGGCCTCAGCGCGCTGAGGGGCAAGGGACACGGGCTGTGACGCACCCCGACTACGGGGGGTCACTCTGGCTAGGGGCCGCCAGCAGGCACCAAAGGTGCCAAGGGAAAAAGCCCTGCCCTGCTTACAGGGCGGGCGGGCTGGGGGTCCGGGAGAGCTCCGTTTCCCCCCTCGGGCGCGGAGGCGGGCACTCTCGCCCTCCTTACAGGGCGGTTGCCCCTCTCTCCGGGCAGCCACAGGAGCGCGATGGCAAAAGGCCAACGCCAAGCAAAGCAAAGGACCTGGCCCTGCTTACAGGGAGGTCGCCCAGCGCCAAGCCGGCCGGCGCAGCCGGAAGCTGCCCGCCGGACTCTTAGGGATCCCTGCCCCGGGTCATGCCAGGGAGGGGCCTTTGCCCAGAGGGCCCTTCTCCCACCCCCTCTTGAGCGCGAAGCCGACGCTCTTCTTCCTGGCTCTTGCCTCGCCGGTCCACTCTTTAGCTCTATGCTGCTGCTCTTCTTCTTTTCTCTTGCCTCGAAGTTACACTCCAGTCTCTTCTTTCTTCTTCCTCGCTTCTGCCAAAGTAGGAGGACACAGTTTATCCTCAGAAATACCAGCTCCTCCCCAAGAAGGAAAACATCCCTATACCCCCAGAGGGAGATGTCCAAGCCACTACCCACCCACAGGCCCCCCCACCTCCACAAATCCCTCCAAACTTCACTTGGGTTAGGGCACCAGCAGCAGCATCAGCTGCAGGGGTTGCGATGAGCAGGCAATGGATGGACCGCTGTTGTGGGGTCAGGGGGGTCCAGTAACTCTCTTTGGCTGCGCAGTTGCCGTGAGACTTCTGTAGAACAATGGACACAGCCAGCTTTCTCCTGTCATGAGGTGCAAGTTAAAGTGCCTCTTCCGTCACCACCAGTTCAACCAACAGACAACAAATGCACAACAGTTAAAACACCACCGTGGCACTCCTACCAAGAAACCAACCCACAGCCCTCACCAGCCTCAGAACAGCTTCTATGCCTAGGACGGCCTGATGGAGGAGGAAGATTAGAAATTGACACCCTAGAAATCTTAGCTGAGCTGTGGCAAACCGAACTCAGTGAGACGAGAGAACCAGAAAGAAGACAAGCAGTTTTGGATCCTGCAGAAGAGGAAGAACAGCAAACATGGCTACAGGTACTACTTCAGCTCGAAGAAGAGAATACAGACTGGGAAAGCACACAAAACATATTCCTGCCCAAGCCGAGACCATCAGTGAAGTCAAAGCTACCAATGTTAAAATGGACAATATATATATTGGCTACGTTGCTAACAATAGCAGCTGTTGGTTTTATGCTGCGAGAATTTCAGCTGGAACAACACAATCCACCTACTGACACAACCAACAATCTAAAGGTAACATTGCAAAATACAGCAGACATACAACTATCAGCTACCATATTTAACTTACTAACTCACAAAAGGACAACTTTACTAATTGACAAATTATCTACTATTATAAAAGGTTCTTTTGTGTTACAGGGGGGAAGAATAGAAATACTAGGAGGGACCCTGAATCGAGTATTTACTTCTCACTATTTTAAAATGCTGTTAGACAGTATGCCATACACAGCATGGAAAGCCAAACCTAAACAAGTAGAAGAAACAAGCAATTAAAATTTCAACTGCAGAAACACATAAGCCTTTACACACAGTCACTGCAAAAGCCTTGATAAAGCAAAACAAACAAATCCCTCATACAACACAAGCCCAAAGATGCCTCACAAGGCTGCAACATACAGCAATACACACCTCCAAATCCATTCAAAACAAACATGCATAAATTTGCCTATACTCAAATTAAACAATTAGAATGGCAGGCAAAGACAGCAGTATCAAACATTTTAACAACAGAACAGATGTAACCTCACAATGGCTCTTAAAAAACATCCAAACCTGTTTAACAAGTTTTCTTAAACTAGCACCCCCAAAACAAAACAGAGACATCATAACCAGCAATAGCCCAGACATTAACCCTGTTTTCATTGGACCCACTGAAATCACTCATTCTGTAGAACAGAGGCTGCCTCAGTCAAAGAGGAAGTCAATTAACAGCGGATTTTTCCCAAAGGCAGTTTCACTGCAGCTAAACCCACAAGTGGCCCAAGAAACAAATAGCCCTAAATCCGTGATACAGTGGCCTTTCCTTAAAACAGAGGTGATGCATTTACACACAACACTAGAAAACCATATAAACACAGCCTTGCTACGTACAAAAACCCCTTCACTAATCTATCAATCTCTCTAAGTAGAGAAAAATGGATTTTCATACTTTTTACCCCTGTCTCAGAGTGCAAAAAGATTAGAATTTTTGAAAACCAAGATTTTGCAAATGACTTTTTAGTTAAAGAAAAGGATAAAAAACACTTCTTGCATAACTGCCTTTGCAAAACAAGAAATAATGTGTTGCCCCTCAAACATAACAATGGTTTACTGCTTAACAACTGGGTGGAATTAGATTTCGTCATCTTCTACCACTATTCCTGTTCCTATAAAAGCTTTCCTACAAACTCTTTGGCTAAACAAACAAGTGACTTGCCTTTTGGTGAGGAAAACGACAAGCAAACCCCTCTCATCTCTTACTCAAAATCTTCTTTCTTACATAATATGGGAAAAAGAAAGCAAAACATAGCGAACTAAAACTTTATTAACTATTCACTCATAGCACTGCATTTTACATTTTCAAGAAAATATAAATTTTACTTCTAACATTTGTGGTTTTTTCTTTTTTGTTTTCAAATCAGTTTTCTTAAAAGTACTGTAAATTGTTTTCTTAACAATAGAAATAAAGGGTAGAAAATAGTTTAAAAACATTTACACATGGAATAAAATTTAGCATCTCACCATTTTAAAGCCCAATATATTCATTAATTCATATTTTTTAAATATAAAACTGGCTGATACAAAACTTTCATTAGGTTTAGCAGTTTCATATTCTTCTAGTTATGCTAAAGAATGCAAGATAAACCTTTTATCAATTAGCAAACAAAATTGCTACACGTATTATAAAAACTGGAGCAATATAAGCAATTTACTAGGAAGATAAATTTGAATTAAATAAATTTACCCACAGATTGTTTCAGCATAGATTGCATGCTGATTACCAATCAATTGCTGGACTCAAGATGAAAAAAAAGATTTGAAACCTTCTTAGTGTAAAGAGAGAGAAAAATTCTCTTTGTTGCCTAAAAGCTCTTGCTATTGCCTTTCACCATGTAAATTGGTGTCATTTTAACCAAAAACATTTAAGTTTATTTCCACAAAACCAAAACACTACAGCTTTAAAAATTTTTTCCCTATTTTTTCATTAATTTCCCAGTAGCTTTATTTGAATTATTAAAAATAAAATTATTAGAAGTTATCAAATTCTCAAATACATCCACATACATGCAATTATCATAACAATGTTATTCAAATAATAAGTATAGAATCTTAAACATCCCCATATTTGTTACATTCAAACATTCTCAAAACATTTTGCAATCACAGAACAACATACATAATGTCAACAAGAGTGCAAAATAGCTGCTTGTAAATTGCAGCTACCTGAGAGACTGAATTAAACCTGGTTACAGTTGCTCTAACTGATATTATTAAGAAATGGGGACTGTAAACCATTAAAAAAAAAATTTAACAGGACCAACAATGGAATCTCCAATACAAGAAAACTACACAACGAAAGATGTAGTAAGTAAATGGGACACTAAGACCATCTACATCTGGACAAACTAAAGAAGACAACGGAACAATAAGGTACAAACCGTGGACCGGGACTCTATGTAAGTTTTACAACTTACTCATACATGCAAGACATTTAAATTGTTTTGTAATTAACCTATGAATGTTATAATTGAGTCATGCTATGCTACTTTCACATCTCGAAGCCTCCTTCCTTCGAGATTTCACTAACCCTCATTTACCTAGAAAAATACACACCACATAATTCCTTGTTAATCACACAAAATCTAACTCTTACATAAGACACATCCATTCACACACATTCCAGATAGAATAATACAACACACACTAGAAAAAGGCAAAAGATACTACCAAATACTAATTTGTTTTGCAATTTTAAACATTCCAAAAACCATAAACACAAACAATGATCCTGTATGTTATTCAACTAAAGCTAAAACACATCTCGCAAATCAGAAGATATTCCATTCCACAAACATGCTGCACTCACCCACAGAACAATTGTAAAAAGAGCACACTGCACACTAAAAGAAATGCTTCAAAGGCAAAAAAGAGGGGAGTTGGTATATAGCCCCCAGGAACGCTTATGGAAAGCATCATATGTTCTAAATTTCTTAAACTGTGATGATACAAACCCATAGCAGGTATGAATACCAACATAAAACTCAAATACTTTCATCTTCCAAAGCACCAGTTATGATTAAAAATCTAATATCTAGGCAATGGTCAGGACCAGTAGATCTCAGAACTTGAGGGAGGATATATGCCTGTGTATCCAAGGGTACCAAATTACAAAGGATCTCTTCTAAATGTGTCAGGCCTTATATTAGCCCTCCCTCACAACAGAAACAATCACCAGAAAAAATGAGTGAAGAAACTGGATTTGAAGAAACATAACCAACAATAGTAAAAGGAACACACCACACATTGAGAAACATGCTATAAAAACACAAAAAAGGGAGGGAAAGAGATATGGGTCTGGTCCCTATATGTGTAAATCTACATTAACACTTCTTCAAAACAGGAACAATCACAAAGAAGCAATAAACAAACAGAACCAAAAGAAACACACAAACAGTAACCAATACAAACCCAAAACTCCATGATTCAAACACAATAAAGGGTTTAAGAATGCATGTGTTAGGAGAGAATGAAACAGTGGCCATCGGAATGTGAATGAGAAAGTTGAGTGGAGATATGTATGTGTGTGTGAATGCAAATACACTTTACAGGAAGATATCTTAAACACTCATTCAACAACACTACCTCAAACAACACTACTTCAAACACAACATCTACAACCCAACACATTTCCCTTTCAAATAAAGATGATGCCTTTACCCAATCACACAAAATTACCCTCAGATAAAAGATTCTACACATCTACAAACCCTGGCTAATTCAAGGTTGCTTGAATATTGCACAAACCAATAAAGTTGTAAACAGCTCAATAAAGGCCTTGTGATGATAGGCCCTGGTTTTTATAAACAGATAAGATAAGATTGGTTATATTAAGGATGTTTAAAAAATGTATTGTTTTACAACTTGTTAATTATTTAGAGAAGGGGAGATGTGGCAAGGAATTATGGGAGTTGTAGTTTTCCACCTTCTCACGCATGCTCAATCAATACTTGATTGTCGTTTGGAAGATCATGTGACATGTTTAAGTGCTGTATTTAAACCAAATTGTTTTGTAATAAACCTTAATTCTGCCCTGGCACTTGATTGTGTCACCGGCAGCGTTTGTGCCTTATTCACCACCTTACTCACACTTCACCTCACTCACACTTTACCTGAGATCTTCCCTCAAGACATCCCCTGCATGTGCTTTCCAAGTTCCCTCAGCTTTACCTCTCTGAAACTCTCAGTCCCCTCTGTGGTACCTCACCAAGGGTGACGGACTTCAAGAAGCTTTTTCCTCAGTAACTCCACTGAAACACCCTGCTGCCCCTGCTGCTCAACAACCCCTACCTCTGTAACAGCCCAAAATCTGCTCTAGGGCAACTCCACAACCTTTCATCGCCTTTCAACTGCTCCCGTCCCACAGACCGGGGGAGGAGCAGGACACCGGAGGCTGAGGGGAGGGCCGGAAAAGCGGCGCAGCAGCAGCGACCAACCCGCCCTTGCTCTGCCCCACCCCGTCTCGTCTCCCTCAGGGCACCCTCAGGGCCCCTCGGTGACCCTCCAGAGCACCCTTTTCGCCCTGTGTCCCTCACAGCACCTAAAGGGACACAGGAGACACTCACCCCTCAGGGCACCCTCTTCACCCTCAGAGTTCCTCAGGGACGCACCGAGCACCTGCCTCCCCCCTCAGCAACATGCAGGAAACCTGCCTTCCCCTCAGGGACACAGAGAACACACGCCTCTCCCTCAGTGACTCTCAAAGTTCCTCGCTGGTACTCAAGGCACCCAGTTGCCACTCAGTGATCCTCAGCAACAAACGAGGCACCTGCTTTCCCCTCAGCGACCTTCACAGCCCCTCAGGGAACCCTCTTCACCCACAGTGACCCTCCCAGAACCCTCAGCAACACACGAGGCACCCACTTTCCCCTCAGTGATGTACCGGACACCCACCTCTTCCTCACTGACCCTCAAAGCCCCTCAGTGACACTTGGGGCACCCAGTTCCTCCCCTGTGACCCTCATGGACCCTCAGCGACACACAGGGCACCTGCCTCCCCCTCAGTGACACACAGGACCTCCTCCTTTCCCTCAGTGATACAGGGGGCACCAGCCTCCTTCTCTTGTGACCCTCAAAACCCCTCAGTGACACTCAGGACACCACATATTTCAACCCCCAAAATGTCCCCTACTCAGCTTTTCCCTCCTAAGATTTTCAGTCTGTCCCTCACACTTTACCTGACATCTTCCCTCAAAACATCCCCTGCATGTGCTTTCCAAGTTCCCTCAGCTTTACCTCTCTGACACTCTTAGTCCCATTTGTGTTACCTCACCAAGGGTGACGGAGTTCAAGAAGCTTTTCCCTCAATAACTCTACTGAAACACCCTGCTGCCCAACACTCTGTATTACCTCTGTAACAGCTCAAAATCTGCCTTAGTGCGACTCCACAACCTTTCACCTGCGCCCGCCTCACGGACCGGGGAGTGGCGAGACACTGCAGCTGAGGGGGCTGAGGGCGCTGAGGGGGCTGAGGGCGCTGAGGGGGCTGAGGGGAGGGCGGGAAAAGCAGCGCAGCCTCAGCGACCGACCCGCCCTGCCCCGTCTCATCTGGTCTCCCTCAGGGCACCCTCAGGGATCCTCGGTGACCCTTCAGAGCACCCTTTTTGCCCTGTGTCCCTCACAGCCCCTAAAGGGACACAGAAGACACCAGTGTAGCCCTCGGGGCACCCTCTTCTCCCTCAGAGATCCTCAGGGACGCATCGGGGACCTGCCTCCCCCCTCAGCAACATGCGGGAAACCTGCCTTCCCCTCAGTGACACATAGCACATCCTCCTTCCCCTCAGTGATACAGGGGGCACCAGCCTCCTTCTCTTGTGACCCTCAAAACCCCTCAGTGACACTCAGGACACCACATATTTCAACCCCCAAAATGTCCCCTACTCAGCTTTTCCCTCCAAGATTTTCAGTCTGTCCCTCACACTTTACCTGACATCTTCCCTCAAAACATCCCCTGCATGTGCTTTCCAAGTTCCCTCAGCTTTACCTCTCTGACACTCTTAGTCCCCTTTGTCTTACCTCACCAAGGGTGACGGAGTTCAAGAAGCTTTTTCCTCAATAACTCCACTGAAAGACCGTGCTGCCCTTCTGACGCTGCTGCTCAACACTGTTTAACGTCTTTAACAGCCCAAAATCTTCTCTAGGGCGATTCCACAACCTTTTATCGAGCTTCTCCGAAGCGCCTTTTACCTGCGCCCACCTCACAGACCGGGGAGTGGCGGGACACTGCGGCTGAGGGCGCTGAGGGCGCTGAGGGCGCTGAGGGGGCTGAGGGCGCTGAGGGGGCTGAGGGCGCTGAGGGGAGGGCGGGAAACGCAGCGCAGCCTCGGCGACCGACCCGCCCCGGCCCGTCTGGTCTCCCTCAGGGCACCCTTAGGGCCCCTCAGTGACCCTTCAGAGCACCCTTTTCACCCTGTGTCCCTCACAGCCCCTAAAGGGACACAGGAGACACTCACATAGCCCCCCAGGCACCCTCTTCCCCCTCAGAGATAAACAGAACACCCACCTCTCCCTCAGTGATACAGGGCATACTCAGGTCCCTCTCAGTGAGTCACGTAGCCCCTCAGGGACACAGATGGCACCCATTTTCCTGGAATAATTTTTTTTTCAAATGATCAAGTTGGGATCATTCACACCTGAAAGTCCTTAAAAAAACCCACATTTGGCTGAGGCACTTCACACACACTAACCAGCTTTTGACATGAATTTTGGAATGCTTAGGAAATTACAGAAGCATGAAACCTGTGAATAATTTAGGAGTATTTTTGAAGGACTTGTAGTTAAAGGGCCTGTTAACTTGATATGATCCAGGTGAAATAGAGGAAAAAGGCAAACGATTTCAGTGATAAAGAATTAAATTAATACAATTAATTTATAGAAAATAGGCCTAATTTAACTCTCTGAGAGATTACAGATGTAATCCTACTGTGGAGATATCATATGCTTTAACTGTTAGCTTGTTAATCCAGCGAGCTCAATATGCTACTGCTCATTTATAATAGCTGGCACTGTAGCACATACAGTCTGGAACTGATGGGTTAGAAAAATAATGCCAGTGAGAAATAATCATCCAGTGAGGCTGTTTAAAATTGTGTCTTCCAAAGGAAAGCACTCAAAGAGAAGTGATGCCAGTTTTATGCATCCCCTGTATTTAAATATAAAATCACCATGGACAAAATATGCAGATGACACAGAAATTTGACAGCAGGACAGATAATGATGCTGAAGTCACACAGAGTAACATGGATAGTTTGGTAAAGAGAATAAACCTGTGCAGTTAGCTTCTGTTTTAATATATTCACATGAAGAGCTGTATGTCTAAAAAATAAAATTTTTAAGTATGGAGGGGAGGACAGTATCCTTAAAAACAGCAACTTTGAAAAGTGCTTATAAATCATGTTGAACAACTGAGTCAACACACTGTTGTGTGTGTTGTGTGTGTGAGGTAAACAGGATTAAGAAGACCTTTAAAATCTATTCAGGAAGGCAGTGTGTAGGAATAGAAAGGCAATTTTTTTAATGAAGCCAGTACTAGAATATTGCTTACAAGTCAGGTGTCAAGTGTTTCTAACAGTGGAAGAAATGAAGGTGGTGTAAGAAGAAAGCCACAAAGATTATCTGAATGCTTGAAAAAAAGCCCTACTGTGAAGGACAGAATGAATGCAATTTGCTAAGCTTATCAAAAAAGAGTTTGAAAGGTAACTAGATTGTAGCAGAGAAGTACTAACACACAGAGAACATACCATGTATTAAAAGGCTTTTTAACCTCAGGGAAGAGATTCCTGTATCCTAAACCATTCAACAGCCAAACAGGCTGCTGCCCTGCTTACAGGGGGCTCCAGCGCGGGCACATGCCCAGACCCTGGCTACAGACGGGTCTCAGTGCCTGTTATTTACATTTGAGTAAATAGTGATGTCTTTTCTGTTGTATGTCCTGGAACCAGAAAATGCTTAAATTGTCTTTTTTTGTTGTTGGTTGGTTTTTTTTTTTTAAAGTGAATTTTAATACCTGTGGTTTGGATTTGAACACATGTCAAGGGACACTTCTAACAGTCGTTTTAGCTGTGTCTAAATATAGACACAATATAGACACATACACAATATAGAGATTGGAAAAGGGGGTGATAGGTATAGGGAGGGAACGAGCAAGATTACAGTGTCACTATTCCAGTCTGTAAGAATCTCCAGTCACTGACTATTTCTTGTGTCTCTCTCTCTCCTGATAAATGTCACTATGCAGACACTGATCAGACAGTAGAATACTTAGGAGTTTATTTTGAGTTAATGGGTTGGTGGAAGTCCAAACTCTGCAACATGATAAAGAAAGTATTTTTCTACGCAGAAGCATCAATTATTCACAACATAGCCACACCATAGGAAAAGAGGGGGAGAAATGGACTCTGGAAATAAACGAGAGGGCTCCATAGTGTAAAAGTAAAATAGATCATTTGAAGGAAAGGGACCACTGCAGAATCTAATTCATTTGCAAAATCCTCTCCTCTATTTAGGCTCCACAGTAATTGTTAAATCTTCCCTTTTGATGAGTTTTATCAAGGTTTTTTTGTGTCTTTTGCCACTTGTTTGGGATGAAATCTAAGAACACATAACCAGCCCATAACCCAGGGAGGTGGTGGCTTCACCATCCCTGGAGGTTTTTAAGATGAGACTGGATGTGGCATCAGTGCCATGGCCTGGGAACCACGGCGGGGTTGGATCAAGGGTTAGACTTGGCAATCTCAGAGGTCTTTTCCAACCCGGTTGATTCTGTGATTCTTTCAGGCACTTTTGGAACATACTAGATCTCTTACCCATCCCAAAGGCCCATATACATATTGAATCTGCAAATATGCTTGGGAACTACTCTAAATCAGCACGCTACTTGGAGTTGTCACCACTTGGTACAGTGATGAATACTGTGTTCATTGAGGCTCCTGCTGCAAGAAAAAAACCTGCAGAGTGCAGTCTTGTGCTTGAGGTTCCCTCTAGCCCTAGTTTCTGTTGACAGTAAAACTCCTCTTAACTGATGGCCAGAAATAGTTTGGGGTTTTTTTGGTTAGGCTTTTTTTGTTGATTTGGGGGTTTTTTTGCACCCTTTTTTTAAAAGAAAATCTCCTGAAACCTGTAGCAAAGGTTGTTAAGAGGCTGATACTTATTTCTCAGATACTCCTGAAACTCAGATTTCTCCTGAAACTTATCACTGTGAGATGATCTATACCTTACAGAATTATTGAATGAGAGTTATGCTTATGGCTTTTTGCCTGATGTTTCTGAGGTGTTATATATTATGGAGACTTTGACACTTTCAGGACAAGTGTCAAAATCTGATTATAATTCCTTTGGACAGTATTTCTATTAAAATATATAGGTCATCACAAACAATATTTTTGACCTTGTAGTTTTTTTGACATCTGAGAATGCACAAGACTACACAGCAGTCTGTCAGAAGTAGCATTGTATCTCTAACATGAACTTAAAGGATAAAAATTACTCTGCACAAACAACTTTATTTTCAAAACAAGAGGAAAACATACAGTATTTGTCCAAAAGTTTAACTGAAAGCCATAATTATGGCTAATGAAGACAAAGAGACAGCATGTTATGAAAGTTTGTTATTTTGACCCTATTGAATCATCAGCTGTGTTCCATTTTCAGTGGGGATTTTTATGTTAAAATAGCCAGAGCTTTCTACTGTCACAAGTAAAATGGTTAAAAGTAGTGCAAGGTCTCTTTCATGTGGAGAAAAAGCATGTAAAACCCAAACAATTCCCAAACTTCCTTCTTTATTATTAAATTAGTTCTGGTAACATCCCTCTGCCTAATGCATTATGCTTTGAAATACTGGCAACTAAATACCAGCTTATTGCCCAGGCTTCAAGATATCTTTTTAAAATTTACTTTGTATTGCAAAGTACAATTGAAAGTCAGTTGAAAGTACCTGGTGTTATTATGGTCAAATATTTTATTACAAGGAGTCCCACTAATCCAATAAAAACAAGAAGGTACCTTACTAAGAATGTTTTTACAGAACAACTTAAAACCAGGCTGATCATATGTACAACTTCCAAGATAAATGACAAACTTTAAAAATCGTTTTTTAATCCAAGTTATTCTCACTAATCCACATAAATATTTTTGACATTTATTATGTTTAATAAGTCTGTCCAGCCTTCACCTGGAAATACTAAAAGATATGTGTTGCCTCACTTTTGTGAATTATGAGCTACTGGAATAACCTTAAGAAGTTTTAGTAATATTTTTACTGTCTAGCACTGTCTTCAAAATACATTATACCCTCTCTAAGCTGATATTTGATGATAGGGAATCACAGATCTTTCAATAAACAAAACAAGATCCAGAATCTTTAAAGAGCTGGACCAGCTTCTAACCTCCAACAAAGTCTGGGCAAATCTCACTGTAATTCTCAAGGTGTTAATAATTGAAAAAAAAATAATTATGTACCCCCACAGAAAACTGATATAGCCCAGTGGCTTGAGAAGAGTAGATGAAAAGTGTGGTTTGCGTACATATTCCCCTACTTGGTGACAAAACCCATACATTTTGAGAAATAAGAGAAAAAAACCTAAAATGCCAAACTCCATGTGATAAAAGAAATAATTATAATTAAAAATCTTAGCCAAATTTCTGTCAGAGGCATCTTTATCATAGCTCTACCTTCTTGCAGAGGGACTGTAATAAACAATTTAGTAAAAAAAGTGTTACAGTTACATTTAGAACACTGCAGGCTTAATCTGGTTGCCCACACATGGGCACATGGTACCAGTTAGGATGCTGCTGGTGCCTACCCAGCTGCCATCCCAGAAGGGTTCTCATAGGTTCTCTGTCACATCTGACAGCCCTCTGCATCAACACCATACCAAATTAAAAAAAAAAAATAAAATTAAAAATTCAGCTAGTGCACTATTCAATAATTATAAGTGAAAAACTTTACTCTTAGATTTTTTTATCAACTTATTTTGCTTTTACAACCAGAATTAATACACTATATCCTAGTCAGTAGTTTAGCTAAAAAATTCCATCCAACATCCTTATAATCTGTAATAGAAACAAGCATAAAATAATTATACAGGAAGCAGCGAAATAGAGATTTTACACATCTAAATGCAATCTCTAGCAATTCAGGTCTTTTCTCAGGCTAATAATAGAGCTGCTTAGATTTAACAGCAGAAGACAATTGCATGTCACAGAGTGGCATAATACAAAATGAGAAACTTTTAATATCTGTGAGAAAAATTACATTATTAGCATTTATAATATAACCTATAATGTACTGTATTTCCATCACTTAAGAGTAGTATTTGTTTCATCTATTCAGAGCAACTCTGGATATGAAGATCTAATTCCTGGACACAATCTTATTACAGCATCTGAGATCAACAGGACTGTTGCTGCCTTTCCTGCACTCACAGGACTTGTGGGTACAGACTCTGAGGACACATTCATGTTTAATTATTGTGAAAATGTCACATAAAGAAACGAGAAGGGCGCTAAATCACTGTACAAAGATTTAAACTGGAAGCTGGTAAGGTTTTAATAACACTCTGCTTGTGAATTATGCTTCCAATAACACATAAATGTATTATGAAGCTTTAGCTGGTATAAAGCAGTTTCTTATTGTTTAATGTATTTGAAAAGAGAATGGCTGTACTTTGTGGTAACAGAAATACCAATTATGTATCTAACTCTTAGTTTAATTCACTTAATGATAGCTGCAGTTAAGGCAAACACCAAGCTTAAATTCTTGCTCTTCAGTTTGTGAAAGCAGAGGACAATATTAATTCCCCATATTTATGGGAGTGCAGTAATGGAAGCCTCCTTTTCCACAGAGTTGGGACCCAGCCTGCTGCTGCACAGCCATGTGCCCTCACAGAGTGCCTCTCCCACGAGCTGGGCTCCAGCTGCACCCCGGGCCAGCTCCTGCCCAGTGCCCCATGGCCGTGGCAGCTCCTCCATCACCAGCCATTCCCCCCTCACCTACCACAGCACCTTCAGCCTTTCCTCTGTAGCCCAGGATATCCAACCACCCAACTGCTGCAGGCAAGGGTGGTGGGGCAGTTTGAAGGATGCTCACACACTTGGTTCTTGGTGTATGAGGTGCCCATGCACACATGTTGGGAATCTCTGTGAGGAGAGGTTGGGGCTGCCCCGTGCCCAACACAGCGAATTCCAACCAGTTCCAGGACAGCCCCACCACGGGGCATAGCTGAGCCCCTCACTGACACTGGTGGTAACAACAGACAGAGGTGGAAAAACTGCAGAGTGTGGGGAATAAGGTGTGAGAAACGATCACCCAGGTCAGAGGTGGAAGAGGAGCTCCAGGTGCCCCTGCAGCCCCCAGCGAGGCCGTGGTGGAGCAGACTTCTTCCTGAAGGACCACAGCCTGTGGAGAAGATCCATGGAGGGGCAGGGGAGAAGCACGAACTCTAGGTTGTGTAAGTGGAGAATGGCACAGGTGCTTGCTCTGTCATGAGCCATGTGAATTGTCCTCACAAGAATCCAGCCTGCTAAGCCCACCTTGCCTCAGCAGGTGAAAGCAACAGCAGCACTAGACATTTTGAGGATGGCTTTGTGGCAGCCTTGTATAAAAAGCTGCTCAGCCTTCAGATTCTTCATTTTACTGACTAACGAAGAGAAGAGGAGCTCTGTTCTTGCAGTACAATTACCACAATAAAGAGTTCTTTAAAAAAAAAATCCCATGTTGTCATACTGGGTTCTAGCGACAGACCGTCCCTCTGAAAGAAAAATCAACACATTATGGAAAACTTGGAAGAAGGGATATTTATTGTATTACAAGATTTTTACCTCATGTATATATGGAAATATTATTCTGTTAAAAAAGGCCTCATCACAACCCTGACTGAAGGGGAGCCATGACAGAGCCTGACAGCTCAGATTTGTCCTGGCTGCTTCTTTTCTGATTTAAATAGCAGCCTCCAGACCCAGCCCCCATCCCTGCATCTGCTTTAGCTGGAAGTAAGAACATCCAAAATTTACACAGACAGACGCCTTTTGGCCTCAAAACAGCTGCCAGCCCTTCAAAAGCCACCACTATTCTGTTCCCACAGTTCCATCATTGAGAAGGCAACCACAATATTTCATGTATATTTAATACTAACATGAAATATTGATTAGCCTTTCCAGCTTTAAGTTCTGTTCAGCATTTTATCTCAAACCTCAGCTTGGCACCAAAAAAAACCCCATACAACTGGAAAGATTTCAGTCCCTAAATCCAGGAAAACTACAGTCAAGTGAGTTGCTTCTTAAAATCACAATTAGAAGTTTATTTGCATAATCACCACTCTTACACTCTAAATTATCTTTTCATTGCAGCAGTACAGGAACTTTTTAAGAGATGTTAAAGGATTTGAGCCTGCATTATCTAATCACTCTTATGCAACCTGTCAGTAAATCAATGTATTGTGTATGACTGGACATGCCTGGCATATCCTTCCTAGCTGTCTATCCCAAGAGTAAAACTCACTGACATTCTGGGCATTTCAGATCCCACACCTCAACCTCCAGTGCAACACAAAGCCCTCATACTGCAGCATCTCTAAAAACCCATGAGAGTGCAAACTGGACCCAGCCCAGCCCCCTGACCAAGCATACAGGCTTTAAGGCAACCCCTTGGGCATCTCTGCCTGCATGGACAGCCTTGCCCTGATGATCAGGGTACCCACAGCCTCTGCCACCTGCACAAAGGGCATGGGGGGTGAACAAAAGCAAAAACTCAACCCACACAAAGGTGGAGGATGCAGTTGAGGCATAGCTGGAATTACACAGGAGGCACGAGTGGCACAGCACAGTCCGTGCCAGGGCACCCACTGCAGAACAGCAGCATGAGGAAGGAGCAAGAGTGCTTCAAGATGGGGACACACAGCAGCTGGGGGAACGAGAGGTGTCCAAGGAAAGGCTAGAGCCAGCCTGCCACACCTGCACCCCGTGTCCTACCACAGGAGGAAGAGGCTGAACCTGAGCATACGATGCTCATGGGCACCCCACCTGGGTACTGGCACTGGCAGCTGGGGGACACAGCCTGCAATAGAGTCAGGCCCTCACCCAGCTCTAGTGGAAGCTCTGGAAGCTGCATGCCAATCACACTTCAGTGCTCATCTGCACCAGAAATGATGCTTTAGTGTGCCAGCACCCTCCTTGCCAGGTGTGTGGGCAGGGAGAAGAATCTTCAGTTCCTCCCCAAGGTGGACAAACAGCTTATGTCCAGCTCAAAGGATTGGAATGTGTTGTTTAAAAAAAATAATTTAAACAGTTTACAGCCTGCAGTGTGAGGGGGAAAGGGCTTGTCTTCCACAGGCTCCAGCTACTTCATCCACTCCCCACCAGACTTCTTTGAAGAAACAATGTGCCGATACATTAAGAACCCCTCTGAATAATAGTCACACTTCAGTCTTCTACTATGATTCCCTCCAAAACTCTACCTTTCAAGCCCAGAAAAAAAAAAACAACAACTCCCACTTAAAATATGCATTTTGAAATCCTATTAAAACTGTTCTCTGCTATATTAACCACTGGCTAATCAACATCCTTTCCTTGCTTTAAGGAGACCAGCTGCCAAGAAGTGACCTTCAACTCACTCCCACAGCAGAGGTTTTGTTAGAGACATAACCCTGCAAGAGACGAGTTCTAGCTTAATGTTATGTCATGTTTTAAGATGTTAAACATTTTAAAATATACAAGTCACTTAAGCTTTAAACAAAGTGCTAAAATACCAAGACCAAATCTTTTCCTTAATTAAGACAGTATATTAGTTCTGCTTATCTCTGCTTTTGCTGAAACAGGTGACATTACAGCTCACTTCACATGTCCATAGCCATTATTCCCTATTTCACACTAAACTTCCACCTTATTAGTCAGACAAGTTTTTTCCAGGAGCAACTTTCATTTGAGCAAGCCTCATGTGTTTAAATAAGAGGAACTCTCACCAGTACCCATCTTCTCCCTAATGGAGTAACAGAACTTCACAATTCTTGTAGTTCCATAATTACAGGTATAAGATGTAGGAATTCCTCCTGTCTTTAAACAGTGCCAGTTCATCTCAGAGGGTTAAAAAAATAAAAATCACATCTTATGCAACAGACTAATAAAAATGCTACATATCAGCATAACAAGCAATATGTAACTGGCAGTTCTGCTTGTGGAGGAAGTTTTGCAAAGCCTCCTGGTGTCAAGCATCTGGAACACCTCAGCATGCTGTAAAGTAATAGCCCAGCTCCTTGCTTGCAGAAGAATCAAGTATGTATTCCAGATACTTAGCCCTGCTTTCCCTTGTGTCAGCAGCTCCTGTGAACAGGTCCAATCCATCTAGACACCTTCCATCTCACAACAGTGGTATACTTGAAGAAAGGGACACAAGTTTCAGTCTATATATGTGGAGGATTAAATGCAACTAGGCAGGCAGGATAGAATCACAGGAAGGACCCTCAGGAACATCCTTGTTCAGTCATTTTGTTTGCTGAAGTTGCATCTGTGACAGAGAAGTGCTTACTTAGGTCTGTGGGCTCAGAAAGGGGCTACAGAAGCCTTCCAAATTCCAGAGGCACGAGATAGAGATACTTCTATATATCCAGAGTCAGCTGAATGAAGCAAACAGCTAAAAAAAGTCCTTTGACTTTACCTATGTTATCAAATATACTCAATAGCAAGATCACTGCATCTCAGGAGTCTGTGCTGACACTTCACAGAAACCAGGAGAGTATTATCAGCTGCATTTCACATTCTCCTTCTCATCAGCATCTGAATAGGTGTGTAGTGAATCCTTTGGGGAGAAAGAAGAAATAAAAAAAAAATGGAACAGATTTCTTTTGTGCCCACTAACCCTTCATTCCTTACTGCAAGAGGAAGACCAAAGAATCCCAACCTATCCTTTTGCCCACAGGGCCAGGTAGTTTTATACAATCCCAAAACTACCGTAGATATTTTACCACCAAGAGCTGCCCTGCCACATGCTCTCTCTGCAGTTTCATCTCTCCTGCCACTACAAGTTTTAATTTGAATGGTCTTGCTTAGGAAGAAAAAGAAGCATCTCAGGGCCAACATCTCTCATCTTGGTAGCACAAAGCAGGCTTTGCTAGCATGAGGTTTTTCTTTACCTGGGTTAAAAGCTGATGACGTCTTAACTGTCTATAGAACTGCAGCACAGAAGGATCAGCTCTCACTACTTTTGGGTCAAAATCCAGAACACGGAGACCTGTAAGGCTACGGGCTCGGGAGAGGGCTACGTAAGCCTGCCCACTTTCAAAGACACGAGACCGGGAGATTTCTACACAATCTAAAGACATGCCCTGCCAAAGACACAGAGAAATTTGTTACAGAACAAACAAAAAAGAACACTGTGCTGTACCAACACTAACCTGTGAGTCTGTCAAAGGTACTGTTCTTGGTGTAAGGGCTTGATTAAAAAAAAAGAAAAAAACAAAGAAGTCTTTTGTTTTACTGTGTAACTGATTAAAAGATGAGAATCAGAAAGGAAAGGCAGTTTTCTACTGTCAGTAAATTGCTAGCAGATAGTAGAATCCACTAACTCCAGAGAACCTCTTGTTGCACAAAACTCCATAAATCCCATCTAATCAACACAGCAGGGAAAGAAATCCTGCTGGTTTCACTCCTAGTAGTTAACTAGAACAGTCACCATTCTCAAGCAGTCCTCAGGCCTGTCTGCAGGGCTGTCCTGGGCACAGCAGAATTTACAGCCTGCCCTGGTTTAAACAGTGGCACAGGAACAATAAACAGTGGCATGGGAACAAACTCACAGGTCTCCAAGACCAGCATTTATCAAAGTGTATGAAAACTTCTGGAAGGGAAGGAACTTTGAGAAAGTTACACTGTTACATCGAAAAAAACCAAACACACACCACTAAAGAGCGAGCCCAGCCCAAAGAGCACAGCTGTGGCTCTGGCAGCTGCCTCAGTTATACTGTAAACCTCAGGGTCTCTAGTGCTGATGACTCTCAAGGAAACACTGCTCTCATCAGCCCACAATGGTAAATAATGCTGCTTTATAGTCCAACACCAACTATGCAGATGGCAGCACCCCATGGAAACTCCAGCAGTGTATCTAGTCCATCTGTGACCCTAGAGGCAGGCATCATGAGCTGAAGAGGTGCAGCTAAACAGACATATTCCCCCCCCCAACAAGGGCCTTTCGGCTTTCCTCCTGTTTTACCAGCAATGCAAGCTCACCCAGGAAATAAGGCTTATGATGCTGTGGAAGTCTTTAGACAGCTGTATAAGGACACCCACCTGACTCTTGTGAATGGAAATGGCCCATGCCAATTTTAAAGGCAGCTGTTGACGACTCAGGTGCACTCCTGATGGTCCTTTGAAGACCCATTTCTCCATTCTTATGACCTGTGTGACCCCACAGAGAAACCTCACCTTAGGCAGCCCTGTAGGAATGGGAGCAGGAGAGAAACAGGGATGTATTCCTGATACTCAAAAGACAGGAAGTCAGCAGCCTAAGAATACCTTTTTTTTCCCCCTCCTAAACCAAACCTAAACCCGCAAACAGTAAATAGCAGGTACTGAAATGCTGTTTGGCACCTACTTAAGGCAGAAGAATTAAAGTCAGGTAATTTATCAGCTGAGATGCAGAGAAAATACACATTGCAGGTAGCAGAACATTATTCTTTGAGAAAAAACAAACAAAAACTTGCTTGAACAAAACAAAACAGGAAATGCAAATGAGCACCCACATCTAGACAACACAGAAAAGCAAAGACAAGAGGCCCATAGATAGCTACAGCTGATGCAGTGCATGACATCACAGCTGGTGAGAGCCCCAAGCCTGCAGAGATCTCCTCCCTGCTTTCCCTCAAATTATTCTTACCAGGCAGTAAACAAAGCTGAGAAGTCATCAGCCATCAATGAAAAATTGTTTTGTTATTTTTCCCCTCTTCCTTCAACAAGAGATCAAGAAGCTCACTTACCCTTCTGTTCACTTTCAAATCCTACAACAACGCCTCATGCCCCGTTCACCAGCCCTTGAGACACATCCAGATTCTTTGCTAGCATCACTTACAGAGAAAAAGAAAAATCCTTCAGTGCACTGGGTTTACAGCCTGTTCAGCCACCTGCAGCTAAACTTCTTTCCAGGAAGCATAAGCACATCAGGCTGATATGGCCACAATCTCCTATCCTGCCTATTGCAGGACAGAGCACCATCTCCAACTGAAATTATTTCACAGCCTTTCCTTCCTAGGATTCCTGTAGGGTACGCAAATGTTCTTATATAATAAGGAAAAACACCTCCTCGTGAGATGGTGATCAAAGAGAATTTATTTCAAAATCGGCGCTGTTTTATCCTTTAACACCATGTGACTTCTTTGACCAATAAGGTTACCTATGTCGGTGCATGCTCCCCTGAGCTCCTCTGCCCCTGCTCCTACCCTGTGCCTTGGACACGCCTCCCACAACTCAACTGTTCATGTTTGGCATTCCCTTAAAGCCTTAGAGCAGAACAACTAGCACAGCAGATTCATTTTATACAGTTTATGAAATGTATGTTCAGTTAGAATATCCAAGTTCACTAGATTTTGGACCAGATGCTATATTTTCAAAGCACTATGGCTTGGAGGAGCTGGAGCATGAGGAATCTTTCTGTTCTGTTCCAGAGAGGCAAAGTCAGGTCCTGGAATATATTCTGGGGCCCCTTCTCTGCCTCATAAGGACCTTTGCAGCAGGGAAAACATTTGTCTTAATGCTGTGCCCCATCATTGCATGGATGAACATACTATTTAGTCTAGATTGGTGTTTGCTGCCTTTTCTGGTAAGGTGGCTGCTTGACCGTGTTGAGGAAAAGCCATTATGTAAACCACCACTATTTGGTATTTTGAGGGAAGATAAGTAAGTTTTAATTGTTTGGGTAAGCACAGTGTTATTACTTTACAGCACTACAGCTTAGCTGTTCTACACATACTAATGAAAAGTACAGAGGATACAGATATAATGTGACTTTGAGCCTGTAGGAGCCTGTAGGCAGTCTGTGTTTGCCAGGAAGCACTGACAGCTCTGCTGACTGCATGCACTGCTGTGCATATGTGCAGTGGCCAGAGGAATAGTCTTCTATGTAGTCATTTTGCTTACTGCCTTTTGATGTCCTGCTGTCCTGCAGTGGTGCCTCTCAGTAACAGGCTGATTCCTGCCAGCCTAGAGTTCAACTGGAACTATAGGCATACACACACAAGGTTTATTTTTAATAGACTTTACTGAGTATATTTGTCCACTTCCTCTCTTATTACAACAACAATTTTAATTCTTGTAAAAAATCCAGTCTGGCAGTTCCAGAGACATTTTCTGTCTGTCCAATAGGCTGTAATTACAGAGCTATCCCAATTCAGACCACCTGAACTGTGCAAGCCCCCTTTGATGGGGCTGTGAATCCGAGTAAGGCAGTTTCTATCATTCATTACTCCTTTATCTGCTTTTCCTTTGTTTTCTCTTTTCCAACTTTGGTGTAACAGGCTAAAAAAAAAACATGAAGGAAACCACAGGAGTACATTAGAGACAAAAAAAGAATGCCCTGAAACTAAAAATATCTGGTCACCTGTATCCTCACAGTACTATTACTTTCAGGTTAAATGTGTGGTCCCAGCATACTGGTAAACAGGCCTATATATCCCTGGAAAAGATGCTGGCAAGTTGGTAGGCCTGAGTCCAAATAGATCAGGCATCAGTGGTTAGGTTTAATATAGTTTTAACTGTCAGTTATTCAACTATAATTTTAAACTATTAATATAGTTGTATTTAACAGGCTCTGATATAATTTTGTCATCACTGTTTAAACATGGACAATTCAGGCAATTATATCCTCAGTGTTACTAACTATATGCAGTATATTGACAATTACATGCTAATTTGTGCTGCTACCAATATACCAGTTACATTTAAAAAAGCACGGGACAAGTAATGCATATGCTTTTTTGTTTCCAGCAAGCTGAGATTATAAATTAATCAATTTTTTGCATCCATTTTGCATGCAAGAACACTTGAGCATTTCAGTTTACCAGTATGGAACGTCTATTATGAAACTGTCCATCTAGTATTTGTTTCATAAAAGTTTTCAGACTCTTATCATCAGTAAATAACAGCCACAGTTGAACAGACAAGTTGGGTTTAGACCTGGTGATCAACAAAGAAGAAAAAAAAAGTTTAAAAAATATGTATTGATTGAAAAATAGTACATCAAAAAAAATCAGTCGCTATCATTTCATGAACAGAATACAAGGCTGAATCAGTCACAAAAATCATTACTCAATCAGTTTTGTTTTAGGAGGAAAACGTATACACAGTAACTACTGTAACAGAGGGTATCTCAGCAGCTGTTATTATGTGGTCTGTACCCTGAGAACATCAAAGGTTGGACGGCACTGGTAACGAACAGTATGGCCAACTCAAAGTCCCTCAGTTAATATGCACAAACCATAGAAAATGGGGGCAGTCTGACAAAGGTGTTTCCATCCCTGGAGAGGTTCAGGTATGAGGTGTGACAGCTAGAGAATTAATTTGTTGAGCCATTGGGAAAGACAGCAAATATTAGCAAACAGTGTGCGTTCTTCCCCACGTTTCCTTCCCCTTACCACGATGAGCAATGACAGATGAGAATTATATTGAATACCTGCTTTCAGTTTTGTCCCCAAACCTTACTGTTCTATTGTTTAATATTTTATAATCTTTCTGAATTGTCTTAATAGGCAATTTCTTCCTTTCTTAATGGACAGACAGAATTTAATTCATTTCTATATTTTGCCATTGAAATAATGACTGGGAGTGAGACTCATGAGATTTCTGAATTCGTTGTCTATAATATTCATTCTTACTTATAAGTAACAACAAAGAAAAAAACCCAAGAGATTGTGTGAGAAACTTTGCTGTCCACACTCCTAATGTCTGTTTTCTCCCTGATGACCCAATCACTTAATATCACTATCCTGAGGCAGTGATATCCTGAGGCACTATCCTCTCTTTCTCCTTAGTTTTTCTGTTGCAGAAACTTTGGCTTGTGACCTTTGAACTTTTGAGACATCAGTGTTTTTGTTTTCTCTGTCCCACCAAATTTTCTGTTTATACCTAGCACTAATTGCCTCATAATATATATGGATGGAATCTAAAGAAGAATGGACAACTGCCTGAAAAATAAAACTCTTCAGCCACTGTTAAAAACCTTCACAGATCTCTAGAGGGAAGGAAGTGAGATTTGCACATGAGGATTTCTAAATTATAAAAACTTCCATCAAACATGAGTTTGAGCAATAAGGAAGTTCCTTCCAGTTACCAAAATTACAGATACTTCCGGAAATCTGAAGTGTTGTAGAATACTAAAGTACCAGCATTGAGTTCTCATGGAAAAGCCTGAAAAGCAAGCTGCAGCAGGTAAGACTAGTGGCTTGATTTACAAATATATAAACAGAGGAGTTTTTGAAATAAGGTATAAAAAACCACAATGCCTTGTCCACACTGGCAGCATACCATGTTTGGAAATTAAGTATCTTTACACTTTTAGTTTTAAACAAAGGCTTTAGTGTTTGTTTCATAACTGTGTGATAAGAGTGATAAGTACTGTAGACCACACGTGTTCAAATTCCGTAGGTTGTGCCTATTGCTCTTTTTAAGTATCAGATACACACTGAGTATATACTTCTCTGGAACTGTGTCTTAGTGAGAATGGAAATTGCATTGTTCTGTGAAGAGATACAAAACTACTGGGTTTGTTAATGATTTTCAAAATAATTCAAGGAAATCTGGCTCCAGCTGTGACTCCTGGTGATGTGGATGTTGAAAGTTCTTTGCAAACAGCTGGTTCCTGGGGAAACATATCACAGTTCAGTGTTTTTATTCAGATTATATTATCTACAATAAAAATATTTTGGGTTTAGTGACTATTATCCTAGTACAAAATTGAATGTTTGGAATTTTTTAAATAAATTAGCTGGAAATAGGGAAAACTGACACACAATGGCCATAGTTTTAAAATTTCAACAGTCTTGTTACATGAGTACTATCAAAGTTATAACATATATGCAGTTTACATTTTTTCTCCTTACACTGAGTATGGTGCATAGCAGACTATAATCAGATTAATGCAATAAACAAAGCCATTTGTGGCAGAGATAGCATGCTTTTTACACATAGAAGAGAGAGGGCTTTAGGAGAGTAGATGAACACAGCTGCTTCCAGTTTAGCAAGCAAGAGGCAGGACCGAAGCATGGAGGGTTGAAGATACGTGCTTGACAGCAGAAAGTGAGGCACAGAAGGAGGATACACCCCTACATGTAAGCCAAATCTTATGCAAATTTTTCCCACAAGAATGAGCAAACAAATGAGTAATATATGGGGGCACACTGTGAGTGCAAGTTGCTGGTAAATCCTGTTGTGTTTCCAAATACTTCATTTTCAGCCATAGCAGCCAGACCACTACCATGGGTTTCTAAGGGTTCAAAGAGAAGTTAGAAACAGAGCATAATCACCTTTTGCCTCTAGCTGTCCTAGAACAGTTACATACACAAACAAATCAATTTCTAAATAGGTTTTTTTAAGGGCATGTTATGTATTTTCTGAGCCAAGTGTTGACAGAAAGCTGGATTACTATTAGCTACATAATTGACTTTAAATAGGGAAACTTGAAGTGTAAAGTTCACAGGTCAGCAAGGTGAAGAGTAGTAAATTCTGTGAATAAGACTTTGCATCATTAGCCCATAGCTGTTTGTTTTGTTTTATTCCTACAAGTACCCTTTACTGGTAGACAGGAAGGACCATGGGAATTCCCAGACACATGCACATTCTTTGGGTTGTACACTTGACTACTTACCGTTATCAGCAACATTATGTTGTGTAAATATGTTATGTGAACAGGAAATTATTATACTGCCATTGCTCAGACAACTTCAAATTTTAGTCACTAGAAAGAGAGTCAACATCCTTTTTTCAAAATATCTTTCCAGTATTAAACACGCAATGATTGCTGCAAAATGTGGTTTCCTCAAATAGCTGCTCAAAGGAGATATTTTTACCTTCCATCAAATGCTTTTGTATCATACATTGCCTAATAGTTTTCTCCACTGCAATGATACACAGTTACTAAGACAAATGTAGCTCTTGTTGGGAACAGCTAGTAGAATGATAACTCTTTTTTATTGTGTTAATGTTATCAAAGTACAGTAACGATTCCATAACTTTACCCATAATGTGACAGGCTAGGAATACTGCTGTTCTATTATTTAATCCCAACAGCTGAGCAATAGTCCTTGGTTTATGTGCAAAGATTAAAATAAATCAAAACTGCAAAAATATCTAGACATTCAAATACATTTTCTTTATATAGGTCTCAATGTAATACTGTATCTCATTTTACCTAACACCACAAAACATTTTGCACAAAGAGATTGCTTATAACAAGCATTATGAACAGAGAGATGAGTTGTTATTACAGAAGCAGCATTGTCACTTGACAAGAAGTCTCAGAAGAATGCAGTTCTTTAACCTTAGTAATGGATGAAAATTAACTTTAGTGACAATACCACAAAATCAGTTAATATTGATCTTACTGCTATTATAGGAAAACCGTTTTGTCTTTCACTTTAAATGATCAATGGAAATATTGACACAAAAGTGATTAAACATTGTATGAAAGTATATATTGATACTGGAAGTACTGGCAGGCAAATGGATGGAGCCCTGAAGCAGAGTAGGGCTGGCCAATGACATGGAGCTCTGTTTTTAGAATCCAGCTGCTCTGTCTAGCTGAACTTCATGCATATGTGCAGGATAAAACCTTATGAGAAAGTCTGATACGTAACATGCAACAATATAACGGGATAATAGGAAAAATTAAAGTATCATGGAAAATACTTTAGACTTCATGATTTCTCTCTCTGAAACAGTAGCTTATAATGTTCAATCCCAGGAAATTTTAATAGAGCATGAATTATTTATCTAGCTATTCCACCTTTAATTACTTTTGCAGAACTGGACCACTGTTCTTAGCAAATATTTCAGCCATTGGACTCTTACCCTGTAAATGGCTGTGCCTATAAGGAAGACTACAGAAGTCCTATGAGTTAGAGCTACTTCTCTGAGAGAGTGGCCTTGATGCTGATTCAGTATAACTTCAATAAAGATGAATAAACTGTTTATGTTCATGCCATCACATATTCTGTAACATCACCACTGGCTGCCGGTTCCATGACTGCATTCCACTCACTGTTGATTTTCTACTCATGACTAATAAGGTAAAACATAAATTGAGCAGATAATTTATGATAAGTCTCTGTAAAAACATAAAGGTAAACCGAAGGTAGTATAAAGAATAGGTCAGATAAAAATATACATCTGGGGGCCATCATCTGACTCAACGTGACTAACCACATACAGATTTTTTAAACTTGCTGTTCAAACGTCAGTGTTTAGAGAGCAGATTGATGATTCTTTGACCAGGGAGTCTATTGGCACAAAGCAAATAAATAGTTATTCATCCTACTCTTAACAGGCTGAGCAAAGCAGTATGTTCAGTATTCCCTTTTCAAGCAATGAAGATGCCATGTTTTCAAGTCCTTTTAATGTGCATTGCAGTAAAATTTTGCATTCTGTCCAGTTTTATAAAAATGTGCAGAAATACATTGTTACCATGAAGACCCTTATCCTGGAACTCCTGATTAAAATAATGATTATTCTTATGTATAGTAATTGCAGTAATAGTTCTTGCTGAAGTCTACAAATGGACTGCTGCTACTCTGCTGGCTGCCTGTGCTGCTGTTGGGAGCATTAGATTTGAATAAACTAGATGGCCTAATACCTTGTGTATATAAAACCTGTTATTTTTAAGAAGAAAATGCAGAATAATATATGCTGCTTTTCAAGCCTCACTAGAATTAACAGGCTTTGTTTTAAAAAGACAGCTAATTAATACAGAGAGAATTGTACATGCTTTTAAACCTCCATACAATAAACATCTAGACACAACAAAATGAAATTAGGCTGATGTTGTCACTAGAGGAACCAGTGAAAAGCAGTGCTGGTAAAGTCCAAAACCAAAAGCAACAACAAAATTGCACATAAGGCACTCAGAAGATACTGTATCAAAGCCATGCTCTTTATTTTGCCATTTGGAGCTGCTGTGGACAGACTGACAGAACTGCCCGAGAGTGACATCAAGTGGGAAATGTGTGGGGCAGCCGCTCCTTCTGCAGTCACAGCACTTTGAAAGGGCCTAACACCGAGCCTATAGTCCAAGCTGTCTCTCTGGATTCAACATGATTATTTCTCATTGGCACTCAGTTGCTGATTCTATTAATGTAAATATCAATGAATCATCTCGTGGTGGCAGAAAAGACTTCCCTCTAGTCCTTGTAATGATTCTGCTGCTTATCTTAGTGTTGATAAAAAACACTGCCCCAGTCTCCACCAACTAGTGAAAACCTCTCATCCTTTTCATTCAGAACTAGACCTGGCTGTTTAGGTTACAGATAGTTCTACAGACTTCGTGTGGTTCAACTCGGTGCCTTTTGCAACCTTGTTTGATTTGGGTTTATCCTAGGTTATTCAATTTTCTTTGCTGCTCTCAAGAATGTCTTCCACCCTTTTTTTTATTTACATAGTTCAGAGAACAAGCCACCCTTCTCCAATCTTGCAAATCCACATAATTTACTTTTCAATTTCTCTGCAACTCAAGCAATTCCCTTCCCTGTTTTTGGGGGGAGTGTTGTGTAGAGCAATATTACTTCTCTGTTCTCTATATTGAGGCACTCAGATATACTGGCATGTCTACTCTTTGGACCAGAGAGAGACATAAAAGTCCTAAACCACAGATATAGTTCCAATTCAAGCTCTTTTATCTTGTGCTGCCCATGCCATTTACCAGCCAGAACCCTAAGTACACTGTAATCCTGACATCCCACAAAGGTACAGCTCTAGTGTTGTTTCTTGTCTGGCTTAGTATGTAAAGTAACATGTGATCCTGAAACATTGATCCTTTTGCTCTATTCTAAAAGCTTGAAATTAGTCACCTCCAAAGTTTATTATCAGGTTCAACTTGGCAAACACTTTCCTAGGGTCAGGCTGTGCTCTAGCTTGTGTATTGACAGGGATGAAAGGGCTCTTTGTGCAAATCTCTGCTTGCTTGTGCGGAAAGTGGAACAAATTAACTTTGTGGCATTATGCTCCTTCCTTGAATGATTCATATGTTTGGTAAATCACAGGAGGGGTGGTCATTAGCAGTAGTAACCTAAAACTATAGAGGTTGGCAATGAGATGTGCACACTCAATTCTTCTAGACCCCTGGATAATCTACTCAATAATCATTATCCTGAAATAAAAATGCACAGGAGACATCCAGAAGAACGTGGGATTATTGTTAATTAGAAGCTGGAAATAACTATCTTATTAATTGGTTATTATTTTTTTTAATTCAAATTACTTTTAAGGCTGAGAAGTGGAGCATCTCAAAAATCTTCAAATTACTAGGGGAAAAAATTGTTTACTTTATCTTTCATGCAATTTCATCATTATATGTGTAACAAAGTATTTAAACATTCCAGTCATAAATATATTATCAGGTGGGATTTTCTAGATAACCAAACAGAAAAGCTAACATGGAACATCATACAGAAATTAACTCAAGTCATCAGAAGGATTAGATTCCCTGGATACATAGGACAGATGTCTGCCAGTGGATCCAGTGGAGTAACTGACAGCTAGCAGGCTGATCAGAAGTCTGGCAGGGTGATTTGAGTTGTTAGTCAGGCCTGACAGGGCACTTTCAGGTCAACATTGCAGATATTTGCTAACAGAGGAAAGGTGATACTCTGCTTGTGAAAGGGAGTGGTAGCAGACCCAGATTCTTTTGATTGTTCCCCACAGTCTTATGTACCATCAGGACTTGTATTATTGCTTGTTTAATCTCCACATAGCTTTCACGCTTTTCTGATCTACCCTCTTCTTCCTATGCCAGTTGTATGCCTCCCTATATCAATTTTAACTGCCCTTAGTTCTCAGATTCCTTCTTTGTTCAATCTTCACCCATTTCCTACTGGCTCTCAGCCTCATTCACATCCAGTCCCACCCTTCCCTTGAATCCTGCATGCTGTCCCTCACCAGCCAGTCCTCTCTCCATCTCCCTCTCTCTGGCTGCCATTCCCCTATTGACCCAGTCTTCCATTTTACTTTAAGACTTCTGTTTCTAGGGTCTTTGCTGAGCCAGTCCTGGCTTCCAGTCTGTTACCGTGGCTCAATGACAGAGGCCTAATGGCCCACTGTCTACAGCATTAGGGTAAATGCTTTCATGATGCTGACCTTTATGAATCCCCTAATCCTTCTCAGAGCTACTAGGCACTGCTTTCCTTATCAGCCAAGGTATTCTTTATTAACTCCAGGAATCTGTTTAATGGCAATAGCTTTTTCTCCTTTTTCTTTACATTCATCTCAGGATCCTTCTTTGTCCACTGTGCCTGCTCACCATCAGAACACCCACTGAAGTGAAAGTATGTGGCAGGTGAGAGGCACATTTCAGGGTTGTCCAAACTGTCTCAGTCAGGCCTGGGAGTACACCATGCAGACACCATCTACAGAGTCTTTAGCTATGAAGCTCAGCAAGTTATCTGACCATACACTGCGATTTATCACAGTGATTTGGGTAAACGAGGACAAAGTTTCTCAGACATGAGGAAGAGCAGAAAGTATTTCTTTTTCTCTGTCCATTAAAAACCTCTGATCCAAGTAATGTGTAAGAATTTCTTTACTACTACCCAAGAAGGGGTACCATAATGTCTGCCTCTCTAATTTCATTCTTAAAAATTACTGAATAATTTGTGCTGATGTTTTCCAAAAATCTTCAGCACCTGCCATGAGAAATTTCAGACTGAATTGTTCAAGTGAGATGAGGTCATAAATACCAGGTCTCAGAATGCGAACCTGACTAACAGCTTGAACATAATAGGTGGCATCATGTTCAGTTTCTGGGTGTTTCAGTTCAGGATGTTCCAAGAGCGTAGCTACATATGGATAACAGTGCCTGCCTGCTAAGTTATTGTACATAAGCAAGATCGTTTGAGCGTGATGGAAATTATGCTCAGCTGCAGCTTCTCTAATTAGGCAGAAAATGTTTTCTTTTGAGTTTCTCAGTTGCTGCATCCTGCTATTAAAGTAATTGGTCTCTGTTCCTTGTCTGACCCACAAGGGGATACAGATAGGGGCAGTCATCTTACTTAACCAGTCTAGCAAGGAACTGTCATGCTTTCATTTAATACCTTCCTCTCCCAATCCACATTCCTGCCCCAGTTTTAGCCAGGTAAGTTTCTTGGTAAGAAAGTTGAGCCCTAAGTGCAGACAGCATCAGGATTCATTCTCAGTGAACAAACACCACACTCATAAGAAATAATAAGAACTTTGTAATTAAAGTAGAGGCTTGGAGTCAGGAAGCTTGAGTTCATGTTTGATCTTCTTCTGTATGTTCTGTGTGACTTCATGAAAAACAAAGAATAAAAACCAGAGAAAAATGCCCATGACGTTTCACTGCTGCAGTATTTCTGTTGCTGATGCTGATAGACATCTGAAGATGGTTAACACGTAAAAAACTATAACACTTCTAAAAACTATAACTAGTATTGAATGTGTAAATGTTAATCTCCCTTGTTGTGGTTGCCCCATCACAACACACTAAGCAGGTTGAATGGTTAATGTCTTAAAACACAATTAAATCACTAGAGTTCCTGGGTACACCAGGATTGTAAATAATTTTTTTTTCTTTACAAGAAACATTACATTGAAAGGTCAGTGACGACTTATGAGTGAACGTGGACCCTCATCAGTGGCTGTAGTTGGATACAAGAATGAAGCATATTAGAAAGTCAGCATCTTGTGCATGTAGACCAGGAGACTGAGACCAAAGGCACCAGCCTGGGCTTCTCACCATGGAGAGAGAACACAAGCCAGTATACAACTTTATGGCTGAGTAATTAATTTTGTAATCCAGCATTCTTTTTTTTCAGAACTCATTTTTACCTCATTTCTATTTCAGATTAAATTGAATCAACTCTACAAAATGTCAGTTCTAAAACTCCCTGCTCCTCACCAATTGCTTGAGCGACTCAGCTGCAGAACCAGGCTCTATCCTGTGAAAGTGGTAAGACACAAAGTTTAAAATTGATCTTGGCAATGTGGGCAAAACTTCGCAGAATTGGAAAAAAAAAAACAAGCAAGAGTTTTTGGTATTACGTTTTTGGATGTGGACGTTTGGATCCGTTATCCGATCAGAGCCCTGCTTCCTGGTACTTTCTTCAACTGGAGCATGTCCTCATTTGTGACTACTGGCTAACAATAGCGGCAGCCTCTGCGCACCCACCCCGAGTGCTGCGTGTGCTGTGGCTCGAAACAGGGAGCGGAGCCCCACCTAGTGACGCACGAGAAAAGTACTCATTTGCTGCTGAGTGGAATAGATGTTTTATTTGATCATGTTTGAAATTCAGGGAAAAAACCCAACAACTTACAACAATTAAAATATTTAACTTAAAATAAAAAAAATCCTATTGTAATCGTGAGCTATTTTCTGTCATTTATTAGATAACTTTTCCTAGGCTAGTTGAAGAAATACAAGAATTATGATTGATATTGCTTGGTAAAATCAGGCCTTACTGCTGATTCTGGTGTATTTACATGAACTCAATTTGTTTGGAATATGGATTTTATTAAAAAATATTTGTTCCACTTGCTCCTTTCCTTTATTCACAGTAGGAATGTAATGCAAAACTTAAGGAGGATCATTCAAAAAGTGCCAGATCAACAACAAAAGCTAATATTAGCTATATCTGACTTCATCATTGACATTGTTCTTTTTAAATGATTTTCTTAATCAGCTAGTGATTCTCTCTCAGAATCACATCACATCTCAGACTCCTTGTGTCTAGGTTAAAGGTTATTAATAATTTTGGTTATTTTTCTTGATATAAGCAAAATATTGAACTTCTCCTGTTAAAAAAAAAAGGTTAAATTTCACATGAAACTTCACGTGTATTTCAAGGGAAAATGGCTTTTACCACGAATTTTTAAAGGGCAATAGCACAATTTGAAAGAAGAGTTATTCTCTCTATTTAGGCTCTAAAAGCACAGAACTACCTTTTCAGTTTCAGAATTTTATTCTAATTGTCACACAAATTATGAAAACTCTCAACAAATTGATGAATAATGAGCATTAGAAGACAGAATGCTGATAAAGACAAGAACCACAAGCTGGCTGGAAACTAAATGATTTAATAAACCCTTTTTAAGACATAGAGTTTTTAGAAATCTTTCCTGCCATTTTGTCAGAACCACTTCTTGTGAAGGGAGCATGTGTAAATTTAAATCAGAATTGTACTGAGTTCTGTTAAGTCAGTTAAAATGTCAATTTCAAAAACATTGCATGAGTTAACTTTTCAGGAAAATGTAGTTATTTGCAGTCAGACTAGAAAGATTCTGGGGCAAAGATTCATTCTTCTTTTAAATCCAGCTTGTGATATTACCAATTTACTTCCACCTATGCTAGTTTGTCACCAAGGTTTCACTCTGCATTTTCTCTGAAGAATTGGAATATGTTCTTTTTTTTTCCCCCCCTAAGCAAAACCAGCCTAGTGCCCTGTCTCCTATACAGGATGGACCAATTCTTAAATAGTTTTGCAAAATATATTCAATTTAATTCAATTTTACTGCAGTTGCAGATGTTGCGTTACTTCGTAAGGAGGACATTTTTTTCCACTGACTGTCAGCAAGAAGACAAAACCGTGCTTTTAATATCCTTTCAATTAGTAATTTTTTCTAGGTTATTGAGCTGAATTTAGCAAACATGTAAATAAAAATGCACAGCACTGAGAAAACATATTAAAAGTGGCTAATAATTTCTGCATTCCTTGGCCATTAAAGTTACAAGCATTGACCTAAGTCAGTGTTATTGCTGTTATTACAGGTTATTCCTGTGCACGCAAAATTCACATGGACATCGATGAGAGGTAATTATAGTCTGTCAACAGACTATAATTGTACAAACAACAAAGAGAGGCTGAAAAGGATCTCTGACTGACTGTATATCGATAATGCAGCCAGAACAGCCAAGTGGGTACCAGTATCAGCGGGCTTTACACCACGAACAGGCCTCATTTTGTGCTGGCAATAACAAATCTTCAGTTATTCCCAGAAAGAAGCTAATTCACTGTGAAACATAAACTTCCCACCCTGGCCGGGGGCCATGTGTAAACCTGCGGCTGTAGAGCAGCTGCAGGCGGCCCCGTCCTTCTGGCCGGGACCCCCGGGGTGACGGTGCCCCGAGCGCTGTTCCGAGAGCGCGGCTGAGGGAGCGCCCGAGCCGCGGGGGCGCCAATGCCGCTCCCTCCCGCCGGCGCAGCGGCCCCGCACGGGAGGAGCGGCCGGGCCGGGGCTGGCGGTGCCCGGCCACAGCGGCGGGTGGGGCCGCCGGAGGTGCCGCCGCCCGGCCCGGCCCGGCCCCGCGGCGCTGGTGCCCAGCCCTGGGCAGCGCCTCCCCGCCGAGCCGGCTGCGCGCCGGGCCCGCCCGGCCAGCGGGGCCATGGAGCGGCGCGGGGGCCGAGGGCAGGTGGGCGCGGGACCGGAGGAGGCCGGGGCAGCGGCGGGGGCGGAGAGAAAGAGCAGGGCCCGCGGCGGGGCGGCGGGGCCCGCCCTGCCCCGGGCGGTGCGGAGCTGGGTACGGGCCGGGGGCGGCGCACCGCGCTATGGGTGAGCTGCACAGCAGCTGCGGGAGGAGAGCTGCCAGGTGTTCGGCGTTTAAAGTGCGAGGTTATGCTCCTTCTGAAATCTCTGCCCTTTGGAACTTGATTTAATTTCGCAGAAAGTTTGGTTTGTACTTTTTTTGGGCTTTTCTTTCATTTTAGGACTCTGGAGATAGCGCTTCTGAACTACAGGAATGGAGACCAGTCATTTACAGAAAGTGTACAGACACTCTCTGGCTGCTCCTCTTCTGTCTCTTCTGGGCTGGATTGGTAAGCATGCTTTTTTCTGAAAGAAAAAAATCAGATCTAAAGTTCATGGAGTTCAGCATAGTGTTATACTAAATCTAAACTGAAATTGTGATGGGCACAGGTCGCAGGATTGCACTGGCACAGATCTGACCTTTGCAGTGGTGCAGTGCTTTATTGTCATGTCTTTCACACAGTTAGTTTTAAGTACTGCCCATATGCTTTAGATACTATGTATACATGGGGCCGGATTATTTAGAATTCTCTTTTTGTAAATCAGTCTGGGCTCTGACTGGGTTCTTATGTCTACTTATTTCATACATTGTAGTCTTGTTATCTTGCAACATGTCCATCTGATACTACATTAAGTCACTATCTGACCTGTGCTTAGAACAGCATACAAGCTTTTGGGAACAGGCTTTGTCTTTCTCAAGTGTGAAAGTTTGTGGGGTTTTTTGTGATATGTCCGAGTCTACTGAGGATTTTCATAAACACACTGTTTAATTCCATTCCTAGTAACTCTGTTAATGGAAGCTAATGCAGAATTATACCTACACATTTTGAAGGCTGCATAAATGGAGGCTGAACTTTGTGAGCAGGATAGGGTTTTTTAATACTTGGTGCTTTGATCAGTGGAGGAAATGCCAAAAATAAAACCTGGCAGATGGTAAATATTTCCAATCTTTGTTTTCTCTCACTGTTTTTATTGCTCAGTTTCTGTGAAATAGCTTATTGCATACATGTATTTGTTTTCTTGTGTTTGATCTTCTTTTTAAAATATTTTAAAAGATTTAATGATGCTAATTTGTTCACACAATGAAAAAAAATGAAACTACAGTAATAGCTCTGTGGAAGTGCTTATCACTGCCATGTAGACACACACCTCCAGCAGTCATACAGATATCTATTACTTACTAGTATTTATGGCTTGTATCCAGCATTCTGCACTTTAAAAAAAAATTCACCTGTACCCACTGGATCTGTAATGTCCATCTTTAGAAGGTATACCAGAATTTTTCTGAAAGCATATTTCAGTTGAGTTACAGCGGCAGCTCATTTCTCCTTTTACTGCTGAGAACAATTTAATTATTAACAAATCCTTGCTATGTAAACAAAGTGGATCTGGAAATATTTTATTATTGTAAAAAATCACATCCAGAAGTAGTATGTCATCTACAAAGATGTCCATATTGAGACATTAATATGCAGTCATAATTTAAAAAAATTACTGAACTAGTTAGACTGTAAAATAAGAGTCTACTATAAGCAAAAATGAGACTACCCTGGGGAGTAAGGAAGTACATACTGACATCTTTGTGTATGAGACTCAGTTTTTGCCCAGATCCCATCTTTAGTCACGAGTGTTAAAATTAGAAAAACAAATAAAGCTCTAAACCTTAAGGAAGAAAGCAGTTGTGCTGGATCTGATATGTGCAATCTGTCTCCAGCACAGCCAGTATTCATGGAATCATAGAATCAGCTGGGTTGGAAAGGACCTCTGAGATCATCAAGTCCAACCCTTGATCCACTGTCGCTGTGGTTACTAGACCATGGCACTAAGTGCCATATCTTGTCTCATCTTAAAAATCTCCAGGGATGGAGAATCCACCACTTCCCTGGGCAGCCCATTCCAATGCCTGATTACCCTCTCTGTAAAGAATTTCTTCCATATCCATGCAAACTAGTAGTAGTTAATGTAGGACTGAGAAGTTTTGCTGCTGCCAGCAGCTGGCATGTAGCCCCAGAGGTCAGTGTATTGTCCTTGGTGCGTGTGAAATGTGGTTTGCACCTCATGGGACAGAGGAGAACATTGAATCACCAAGTCCTTCAATAGCTAGAGTGCTGTTAGTAAGCCTTTGGGTAAAGTAGTGCTCAGGACTTTATCAGCTTCACAGAAGAATTGCTGATTTTTGGCACTTGGAAAGGTTCCTTCCCAGGATTGTTTTGGCCCTCATGGGGTACAGGAAGGTTTAAGCTGCATTCCTAGACAAGGTGTTTCATATTGACTAAGGACTGCTGCTACTTGGCCAACAGAAGTGCTTAGTTGCCCCTGGGGTTTACATGGAGCTGATCTACTAGAACTTTGATCTGACAGCAAAACAACTAAAACGTCAGGGCAGTGTCACCCAAGTGCACAGTATGTCTCTCTCCAAGTTTTTCATGTGTTAAAGATTGTCTCTTCCTGAAATTTCAGGTAACCTGCATTTTGATTATACTTTGTTTTTAAAAACACCTGTGATTAAATTCACTAGCAGCTTCAAGGGCTCAATATTTCTGCAGATATACTGACCAGGTGTGTCCTGAAGGTCACCCTGTAAAATAAGATGCAGTGAGCACATGAAAAATCACCCTTTGAGGAATCTTGCCTAGTGACATACATGAACTTCAGTAGAGACCATGTCTAGCACCTTACTAATGCTTTCCTCTTATTTTAATCAGGACTCCTATCTTTCTTCTCCCATGTTACTCTGCTTAATTTATATACTTTCAACAGTAGATGAAGGAAAGCTCTAAGGAAGCAATAGGGCTAAACCTGTCCATCTGACTTGATCTGGCCTTGTGCAGAGGGTGAATTTTAAGTTGAACTGTTTGCATCCACAAGACAAAAATGTATGGCTTAAAAGGGGTATTTATTGAATGGAAAGGAAAAGCTATCATAGCATGATTTCATGTTAAAAAATATTTTAACAGATGTTCATAACTGGCTATGCTGTGATGGCTGGTGCTGCAGAAAGACTTGTGCTTGGATATGACAGCTTTGGGAACATATGTGGTAGGAAGAATGCTCCTGTAAAAGGGGCACCGCTTTCTGGACAGGACATGACTAATAAAAAGTAAGTACATCAGGTAATGTCTAAATAAATCAAACATTTGAGAACTTAATAAGGTACATATTTTCTACTTGTCAAGCGTATGCGTGTATCTGTACATCGTTATGTTGAAAGACAAGAAAAAAGTGGGAATGGTGCAAAATGGTGAGTGAAATTAAAAAGTTTAGATAGAATTTGAAGATGTGCTACATAGTTATACTTTATGCTGTCGCCTTCTTAAAGAGGATCTTAAATGGAACTTCAGCCAAAGAGGCAGTCGTTCTATACAGCAAATCTTTGTACTTAAGAAAGTTGCATGTTGAAGTTCCCAGTCATTCCACTAACTCCTGAGTCCTTGTAGAATGGCACCCATCTTGTCAGCTTCTGATCCCATATAAGAACATAATATGAAGTACAAAAATGTAGCATATTCTCACATTGCTTCCTAATTTGTGACTTCGAGCTCCATTTTTTTGATGGGATGTGGAAAAAGTTTCATTTGCTTTGTAGCAGTTTAAAAAGATGGAAAGAAGGCTCAGAATTTAAACCTATAAACCTCAGAAAGCTTGTTTTTTGAAAAGAGGATCTTTTTTTCTTTTTAGGTATGTGTTCTTTCTGAATTCATGCAACCTGGAAATGCAAAGCCACAAAATCAGTTCACTTTGCTTGTGCGTGTCTAGTTGTCCACGAGAGCAACTCAACTCTTTGGAAGATCTTCAGAGTTTTGCAAGGAATAATGGTGTGCTACAGGGAATATGAATACCTTAGTGTATCTGTAGAACAGCTGAACAGCTTTCACTTTGTTATTCTTATGTTTCCTACGCTAGGGAGTCATATCTTACCATTAATTTCCTGAAAAGTTCATGACCACAGAAAATAAAATGTCTTGTTTCTGCTTTATTTCAAAGCCATAGTTTCTAGAAATGTTACAGCTCTCTTATGCAAATTGGAAAGCTGTTGATTAATTTGTGCAGATTGCTGGGATTACACAGCAGGAAACTGGCTGCTGAGAATGAACTAGTGAAGTTTGGTGGGGGTGCCAGTAGAAGAACAGAGTTCATTTGCTATTTCAGAAACTTGTCCAATCAGTTCTTTTAAACAGAATTAAAATTATGGTGGAATTATTAATTTCCAGGGGTTTAAACAAGTGGTTTCATCCACTTTAGATCCCAAGGTTTGCTATTTCACCTTGTTGTGGTTCAACCCCAGAT